CACACACGTGTATATAAATATATACATACACACATACGCATCCCTCAAAATGTTTAAGGTGATTATGTCTGGATGGTAGGCTTCTTCTCAAATTGTTTTTTAATTTCTTTTTAAATTTTCTACAAAGTACAGGTATTATTTTTAGAAAAACGCCTACAAATGTTATTTTTTAAATGCATAGAAGAGAAACTGTCTAAAAAAGACTGGCCAGAGACCAATGGAAAACTGATGGTCCCCAGGAGATGAATCAGTGGAACCATAAGTGTTTCCTCGGGTCATTACAAAAGGGGGCTGTATGGGACTTATAAAAGTGTAATTGTTACTTTCGAACTCACTAAGTTTGTTAAGGTTACTAAGCTTAAGTAATTCCAAAATAAACACATTATCCTTGGGTCTCCAATACTGTCTTCAGTTAAAGTCTGTTACAGTGAGGTTCAGAAACATTAAGAGCATCCCTCAGTGAAACTCTTGATTGGGGGCCCAGAATATAACTTTATACCACTGGAAAAACAGGTTTAAGGATACCCAAAATAAATAGAGTTGATGGCAGTTCCACTTCCTAGTCCATCATTTAGCAATATGATCCTATAGTAGTAACGATGTGGTTCAACCACCAAAATGTTTGCAAACAATAAGAGTCCATGAGTGCCTTTCCTTTAATCTCTATACTACTCACTAGCATTCAGTTCTATCAGTGAACCCTCTCCATACTGATGAGCTGCAGGTCTGAGAAAGTGATTACCGCTAGCATCTCCCCGAGTTAGCAACCACCAGGCTGCATTCCCACAAAGCAAGCTAAGAAGTGAGGCAAAACCTTACTAAAAGCGTTTTCAAGAACAGTAATGTACCAACAAAGCAATACCAAGAGCACTTTACATTGGCATGAGTTAGGAATAGGAAATGAAACACATGAAACAAATTCAACTCAATGTTGAGGCATCACAGAAGCTACACAATTGTACCAAGGAGATCTCTGATCCAGCTCTAGAGTTCTTGCTAGAAACAACCAAGAAATCTGTCAGTGCCTGTAAGGGTCAAGGGAAAGAACAGAACTTGAGAAAGGGAGCATTCCAGAGTACTAGAAACTTCTCTCTTGTGCCCCGTGTCACCCCTCCCCACACACACCCACAAGGGAACATAAACTTGCCGAGTGACTACAACACAGAGTCCTCCACCCAGATTTGCCCAACAACTTGATCCCTACCCTAAGCTTTCACTCTTTAAAGTATTAAGGGTGAATTTTTTCCTATGTAAAAATATCTGACTTTATAATGAAAATCACTGAGAAAATATGATCCATTGTACAGCGAATTTTGCTGAAATATTACCATTCAATAAAGGCAGGGGTCCTCATAAGAGTTCTACAAATACACTGAGAAAGATTTTAAATGTGTTATCTGTGTTAAGTTACTTTATTTCCAAGAAGTCGATGTTACATAATATTTCTTGCCTAAGCTGACTGTGCCAGTAAAATACAGGGAGAAGTATTACTTCTGGACCTAGTTTCCACCTCTAAGGAAAACCTTTCCATTTTTATAGCTAACATGACAAAATCTACTTTTCAGCCAAACTTCCTCAACACAGCAGTTTAGATACTATTTCAAATACTATTAAATTTAATAGCAGGCCTAAATTCAAACTTCTCATTTCACTTTTGCACCTACTGGAAATTATTTCACTCAAAATAATTATGTCTTCAGACGATTTCCTAGTTCCACTTAAAGTGGAAACAAATTAGAACACTTCAAATTCCATTTGCACTTCCCAAATACAGTAATGACTCATTTATCTGGCATCATCAGAAAATGAGGCTCTCCACATGAAGCATTTTCCAGATAACTGAAGTCCCCAAGAGCACAGAACCTGTCTGCTTTGTTCCTGCTATATTCCCAGGGGCTAGAACAAGGGCTGGTACGTAGCAGATGCTCCGTTATAGTCACTAAACATACGATTACATCAAGTGCTAAAGCCCATTTTATTTTTTACCATCTAATAAAAATTTTCCTGTTTTAGCCATCCCTCTTTAAAAAAAAAAGAAAGAAAAGAAAAAGAGATGACCCTGAACAAAAATTGTTTTTTTTCTTAAATCTGGGACATCACTACAAACAGCAATAACTCTACTCTCCTACCATACACCTACAATGCCCTCAGAAGTTATTAAAATACCGTATTTAAATGGCCTCAACGTGCTATGCTTTCTAACTTCTCCTTTTCTGATATTAGCTATCACTTGCGTTTGCTGCTGCTGCACATGTATCTGGCAAGGTTCTGAAATTAATTCTGCCTCCAAAGCAGAATAAAACACATGAACTTGGTTACAATTCTGAAGTCTTAATCCCACTTACTTCTGACCTGTGACTACATTCTGATTCTATGCATTTAAGAGACTCCTTACACCACCCACCACATTCTACATAAAATCTGAGATGGTTCTATTAGTTTTAAATGAGTATCTTATGGGTTTTCATTTAAGTTCTATGTTGCAAATACTAATCATGAGTAATGGCTCAAAGACCAGCTCCACTACAATCCTCGGGGCATATTTTTTAATCCACTTAGGAGACACCAACCACGACAAAGCTGGATTTCATCTTGCTTGATACACTGTGATAGGACCATAATTTAGATTCACTGTTCCAAAGTTCACGACAGCAAAAATCAAACACACTGGCAGCCATGGTGTACTGTGCTTGCACAGAAAGGCATATCTCCCTGAACCTAAGCGTGGAAAGAATAATTTAAGTATAGCATTTAGTTTATATAATACGACTGGAGTTCCTTCCCCACAACAAACTTTGAATAATGTTTATAATTTAGCAATCAACTGAAATGATGAAAGAATTACCACAATTGAAATAAAATATTTATGTATTTCAAACCAGTAGAATTGTGTCTTCAAAAACTAAAATAAGCTAACAAACCTAGTTCTGAATTAGGGATGGATACAAATAAAATGGGGGATTTGTTTACTTGGGTTTTTGAGTCTCTTTTCTTCTTTTTAAAGATTTAACGAACTTTCATTTGAAATAAGTGTAGTTTACTAAATTAAAGGATTTGATTACATATTCTTTAAAAGTAACTAGCTGGGTAAACAATAAAGTAAGTTATCCAGAAGTCAAGAAAAGAAAAATTACTTCAGACTGTTTTATGAATATTCTTCCAAAATCACCAATCCTTCAACAAAAATAGTTCAACGGAAGATTTCAGTTCCTGGTACTGAACTGAACAAAGAGAACCACATGTTTTTAATGGTTGCTCATAAATGACCCAAATAAATCTCCAAAAGAACAGCAGTGGTTCTTTCTGTATTTTTCCCTTCAAAACTCACAAGACCAATTCAACATAAAAATAAAAATTACTGTACTTTATGGCACCACTCACTTTGTGACACATTTATTTGCTGTCATGAAAGTTAGTGCCTCAACAAAGTAAATGAGATTTAGGGAAAAACTTTTTTTATATCTTAAAGAGCACAAAATGTCCTTACCACTTGAAATAGAAAAAGTTTACCCACCTCAAATGAGAAGCTTTTCAAACTAAGTGAGAGACCAAAGTATTTATATATCAATGTTGCAAGGAAGCTTTCCAAATAGCTTTCTAATCAATTATGATGTGACCTTAGATCAGGATTACACTGCTAACTACCACTTATAAATAAGAAACGAAGCCTACACAACAGAAAATAGAACTTAAAATGTGACCACTGATGTTCTCCTTTCCCTGACTTTAAATCGTGAATTAAAACACAGCACAACAGCACACCCTGCTGGAAGTTAGAGTAACAGCAACTGGATTGTAAAGATTTCACCCAAATATGAGAATTACTTCCAAAACAAACTACATTCCCACTAAATGATAATAGAGGCCCACAGGTGTTAACCATCAGGTGCCTATATATGTGATCTTAAAGGTAAAATTAAGACTTAGAATAATTTCATATTCAAAGAATGCTTTTTCATCTGCGTTGGTGGTATAGTGGTGAGCACAGCTGCCTTCCAAAGAATGCTTTTTCCTGTTCATTTCGCTAAGCCCCACACAGCACCAATCACCCCAAGTAATATTACCATTTTTTATTTTCACCCTAAATAAAAATATTTTCCAATCTGCTTTCTGTAAAAAGAAATTGGTAATCACATAAGAGGAAATTGAGGCCATTTCTGCATGTGATTGCCTGTAGCACCCCTTGCTCCCCCATCCCATCCTGGCCTCAGAAACATCCCTGAAGACCACCATTAAGAATCCACAAGGCAACCTAGTGGTGGATGAACCACAATTTACATGCCATTGGCAAAATGCCTACACAGATTCTGGAATTCAAAACACACAGACTATATTAGGAAACCATATGCCATGAAACTCCCATCCAGTACATTTCAACATTTTCCTCAGATGTGAAAAAAATCACAGAAGCCATTGTCTAATCCAGCTCGGTGCTCTCTCTGTAACAAACTCAAAGGAATCAGGATGAACGGAAAGGAACCAAAGTTTCATAAATGTGCTCCGTTGGCTATAGGGAAAAAAGCTTCTTGGTACCACTGAGCTCTCTCCTATTCTAGCATTGATGTACATTGTTTTGAGTGACTAGTGTTAACTTCTTGTCTCTTGCTCCCACATTTAAAAGGTTCTGTTTGACCTGTGATCAATCTGGAGGGCACCTTTATCATAAAGTCCAGCAATTCTGAAAACCAATAAAAAGTCAAAGAAGATCAAACACTTCAGTGTAGTTTTCCCTCAAGAACTGCAAAAGCAAGGGGCACCTGGCTGGCTCAGTCAGAAGAGCATGCAACTCTTAATCTCAGGGTCGTGAGTTCTAGCTCCACACTGAGTGTAGAGATTACTAAAACAAATAAATAGACTTAAAAAAAAAAAAAAAGAACTGCAAAAGCAATAATCACCTCAGACCTCAGGTCTACCTTTCTGAAATTACCTCCAGTTGTATTATTTGGTTCATTATTTCAATCAAGGTACACTTTAAATTAGAATTTTAAAAGGATACCAACCTCAAGCCTCTTTTCAAGTGACTCAATCCTGTCCTTTTTGCTAGCTAGGTTTGCCCGTGTGTAGCGGCTCTGCCCAGGAAGATACAAAACTTGACTGTAGCATTCTTCCCACACCTGGTTATAAGCTTCACTTGAGAGTTCTCCGTGGCTCATACCTTGTTTGACCACTTCCATCTCCTGTACCAGAACGTCCTGGGCCTGTGTACAGTAATAATTTCAGTAAGTTTGGGTACTACAGTAACTTGCCATCAAGAGAGAGCTTTTTTAAAAAACTAGTTTTTCCTCTCTTTGGTAAAGGCAATGAGTTTTGGTTGACTGGTTGTTTTTGGGAAGGGAGGAACAATACCTAAGCAAAATGAATTAAAAAGCCAGTAAGTTGGTACAGACTGATCTGAAAAGTCAAGTGTCCATGTATCCCCAATAATATAAACATCCTTTGCCTTCACTTATTGTAATTGTAGCCACCATTTCTTGGATATCTACTGTATGCTGGAAACATTTAAAGGTTTCACCTACATTATCTCCAAGCACCACAACCACCTTACAAAGTAGTTGGTATTAACCTCATCTTAAAGGTGATAAAACAGGCTCAGAGAGATTAAGCAACTTGCTCAAAAACACATCTCTAGGAAAGGCAAGGCAGGATCATGCCCAAGCCAAATGGTACCTATGCTTGGCTGTGCTCCTTCTACTCTACCAATCCCACCCTACACTTCAGGGTTCACAGGACTGTGAAAGGGAACTAGGCGTTTCTTCTGGTACATGCCTTTTTCTCATCTGATGAAATGCCCCTGACATTGCCAAAGAATGAGATGGGGGCACAGATCAAAAAATAATGAATCACAGACCAGCTTTTACTACTAAAGAAAGTTTAAAATGAGAGAATGAGGGGGATAGAGCTGGACAGGCCTGGATACAAATCATAGCTTTACCATTTAAGGAGCTGTCTGAACTTGCTTAACATCTCTGAGCCCATTTCTCATCTGTAAAATGAGGATAATACCTACCTGACATGTTTGTTATTAGGATTAAGTGATACAATATACATACAGAGCCTAGCCCAACATCAGACACAATGACTCCATGACCATACCACATGAACTTTTTCCAGCCCTTTGCTTCACGGCTCAAAACTGACAACTATTTTTTTGTGCCTTAAAGAAACCTTTCAATCGTTCTAGTACATCAGAAAATAAGACAGACCAAAATATATAAAATCAAATACAAAAAACTTAAAACAATGGAAAATCATGTCTATAGGAGATAAAGACTAGATACTTTAAAACAGTATCTCTGAGGGGAAATAATGAAAACAAACCATTGGGGCGCCTGGGTGGCTCAGTCGGTTAAGCGACTGCCTTCGGCTCGGGTCATGATCCTGGAGTCCCGGGATCGAGTCCCACATCGGGCTCCCTGCTCAGCAGGGAGTCTGCTTCTCCCTCTGACCCTCCTCCCTCTCCTGCTCTCTGTCTCTCATTCTCTCTCTCTCAAATAAATAAATAAAAAATCTTTAAAAAAAAAAAGAAAAAGAAAAAGAAAACAATTAACATCCTTAATGAAAATCTGACACTTCATAAGAGAAATGGTATTTCACTCCCAAACTGTACATAATAAAAATTTACAAATTCAGCTCTTGTAATTATTCGAAGAGAGTATGACTAAGTTATCTTAAATTCTCCATAAAGAATCTGCTAAGTAAACAGCTGCTTCAAATTCTCTTTGGAACACAGAGGAATATAAATACACACATAAAATATAAAAGAATATTCAAACTGCTCTTTAACGTGAATAATCCAAAGCACTAACTACAATGATTATTTTCAAAAACTTTATTAGAACCTACTCCCTACAGAACCTTCTATTAGGCAACAACAGATCACAGTGTGATCCTTATTTCAGGTTTCCATACATGTAAGTAAATTCCTAAATCCCAGCTTCCCCTATTTTCACTCTAAAAAGAGGAGACTGTTCAAGTATGGAGTTCAGAGTGTAATTCTCAACCTCAGTCCACTGATTAAACATGCCTTGCCACAAGCACAGGCCCTCGACAAGATGTCAGTTTCCGGGCGCCTGGGTGGCTCAGTTGGTTAAGCGACTGCCTTCGGCTCAGGTCATGATCCTGGAGTCCCGGGATCGAGTCCCGCATCGGGCTCCCTGCTCGGCGGGGAGTCTGCTTCTCCCTCTGACCCTCCCCCCTCTCATGTGCTTGCTCTCTCTCATTCTCTCTCTCGCAAATAAATAAAATCTTTAAAAAAATAAAAAAATAAAAATAAAATCTGGAGTCTCTTGATACACTTCTCAGGAACTGGATATTTGCATTTTAATTGGGGTGTTTTAAAAGATTGTCTAATCCCCAGCGCCTGCGTGGCTCAGTGGGTTAAGGGTCTGCCTTCGCCCAGGTCATGATCTCCAGGTCCTGGGATGGAGACCGGAGTTGGGCTCCCTGTTCAGTAGGGAGTCTGCTTCTCCCTCTGACCCTCCCCCCTCTCATGCTCTCTCTCTCTCATTCTCTCTCTCAAATAAATAAAATCCTTAAAAAAAAAAAAAAAAAGATGTCAGTTTCCCATCGCACTTACTAAAAAAGAGTAATTCAGAGTTACTCAGAAATCCGGGGCAAACTGTTTCAATATAAATCTAAACCTCCTTCCTTTCTCATTTTCCAAAAATGCTTTAATAAACACGTTATTACTTTTGCAACAAGGAAAACGGAAAGTAAGAAAAAGGCAGAGGGAAGGCACAGGAGAGAAGATAGAAAAAAGATATTTTAGGGGTTTTCTCCCAAGTATGCAATAGCGCATACCAATCAACAGGTCTGTCATTGCCCCTTGGGGCTAAGGTCTACAGAAAAAAGAGTAAAGCTAATGACCGCTTCCAACCACGGTACCAACTGTATTTCCTCATACCATGGAACAGATTTCTATTCACAATCACAGCTGTTTGCTCTGTCAAAGCAGAAATAATCAAATGCATATGGAGGAAGAGGCAGGACAGACTTTATGCAAGAAAATGTTTCTGTATTTACTTATCCAAAAGGATAGTGGGAAATCCTGTGAGGGGAATAAATTCAGTAAACAGTATTTCCTTTTTCTGACTAGGTGAAAGAAACATTTCGAATATATGCTTGCTTCTTATTAATCTAAATAAATGAGGTTTAAGTATTAAAGGTATTCAATTCTAATCAGAAGTAGCAGAGTTAAACACAGGAAATGGCAAATCGCAACTGTCCATCAGACATACACCCATGAAACAAAAACACCTTGCCACCTAAGCCACTGATCACCTGAAGCAGCTCTATCACGGAAGGGGAAGAGGGCAGGTCAAGTATGTCTCCTTCCTAACACTTACTGTGAACGTTCACCTCCTAATCACCTAATTCATTTGTTTATAAATATCAGCATGAGAAAATAAGCTCATGAACATGATACACAGTACTTAATAAATACTTTTAATAGAGACCAAAACATTCCTTTTGAATCCTACCTTTTTCAGCTCTTCTTTGGAAAATTTTTCATAAGGATTATGTTCCAGATAGGCAATGTGTTCTGAATTATTAGTACCAAATCCTACAGTTTTTCCTTTTTTATTTCCAGATGGTTCATAAGGGTGATGTAGAAGGTCATAATGAAGCATTGTGATCATTTCTTTTTTGATGAGTTCTTCACTTTTTTGTAAATCTGTTAGAGGTGGTTCTACATTTAGGGGCCTTAGAATAGTTTCATTTACCTAAAATTTTAAAATAAGTACAATTACCAAACATATCACTGCAATACTGATGCTATTACTTGTTCTAGCATGAATTAAGTAGCGGTTTTACATTTTCAAAAGAAACTCTTTCTTTCCCTCTAAAGTCTTATTTGTACAGTGAAACATTTCAGCGATTAAATCTGGGAACTGCTTTACTCTATTACAGAAAGTAGATAAAATTATGTTTTACAGACTTTATGAATGATATAAAAACATCAATCATATAAGAAGAAACTTAAAACTTCCTAAGCCAGAAATTCTAACACTTACTTCTGATGGTCTTGGCAGATCTTTCTGGACAGCTTTGTGCATTCGTTTCATTTCCTTTACACGCTCTGCCTCTCGTATAGCCTTAAAAAATTATTGTTATATCCGTTATTACAGCTATGCAGTATTTGCCACATTTCAATAAAGCTGAAAACACTTCCGTCTATAAGAATATGTATGCTCAAGAGCTAATGCTGTAGAAATCTGTGTAGGCTTGTAGAAAGACAATATAAGGCAACAGAAATCAGTCTATTCACTCTCTCATTACAATACAAACTAAGAACTGCCAATAGCTACTAGAGCATTCTCCAAGTTTACATGGCTCCATCCATCAGATAGTCATTCTTTTGTTTAAATTGGAATCCTAATAAAAATCCTAGAAAAGAGCACAGGCAGTAATGTCCCTGACATCAGCTGTAGCAACCTTTTTCTAGATATGCCTCCTGAGGCAAGGGAAATAAAAGCAAAAATAAACTATGGGAATTACATCAAAAGCTTCTGCACACTGAAGGAAATGATCAACAAAACTAAAAGGCAACCTACTGAATAGGAGAAGATATTTGCAAATGACATATCCAATAAAGGGTTAATATCCAAAATATGTAAAGAACTTATACAACTCAACACCAAAAAACAAATGGTTCAATTAAAACATGAGCAGAAGGAAAAAAAAAGGGGGGGGGGGGGCAGAAGACGTGAACAGACACTTCTCCAAGATGATGTCCAGATGGCTAATGGGACACATGAAAAGATGCTCAACATCTCTCATCATCAGGGCAATGCAAATCAAAACTACAATGAGATAGGGGCACCTAGCTGGCTCAGTCGGTAGAGCATCTGACTCTTCACTCTCAGGGTTGTGAGTTCAAGCCCCACACTGGGTGTGGAGCCTGCTTAAAAAAATTTCTTAAAAAGCTACAATGAGATATCACCTCACACCTGTCAGAATGGCTAAAATCAAAAACACAAGAAACAACAAGTGTTGGCAAGGATGTGGAGAAAAAGGAACCTTCCTGTACTGTTAGCAGGAATGCAAACTGGTGCTGCCACTCTGGAAAACAGTATGGGAGGTTCCTCAAAAAGTTAAAAATAGAACTGCCCTACGATCCAGCCATCATACTACTGGGCATTTACACACACACACAAAACCCCTAATTCCAAGGGACACATGCACCCTTATATTTAGAGCAGCATTATTTACAATAGCCAAATTATGGAAGCAGCCCAAGTGTCCATGGATAGCTGAATGGATAAAGATGTGGTGTATGTAGGTTGGTGTGGATATACATATGTGTGTGTGTGTGTGTGTGTGTGTGTATGGGTAGAGAAGACATAATACATACCCACACACACTACAATGGAGTATTATTCAGCCTTTAGCCATAAAAAAGAATGAAATCTTGCCATTTGCAACAACATGGATGGAGCTAGAGTATAACGCTAAGCGAAATGTATAATGCTAAGCGCAATTAGTCAATCAGAGAAAGGCAAATACGGTATGATTTCACTTATACAGAATTTAAGAAATAAAACCAGCAAGAGGAAAAAAGAGACAAACCAAGAAACAGACTTTTTTTTTTTTTTTTTTTTAAGATTTTATTTACTTATTTGGGCGCCTGGGTGGTTCAGTCGTTAAGCGTCTGCCTTCAGCTCAGGTCATGATCCCAGGGTGCTGGGATCAAGTCCCACATCAGGCTCCCTGCCCAGCAGGAAGCCTGTTTCTCCCTCTCCGACTCCCCCTGCTTGTGTTCCTGCTCTCGCTATCTCTGTCTCTGTCAAATAAATAAATAAAATCTTTAAAAAAAAAAAAAGATTTTATTTACTTATTTGACAGAGAGAGACAGCGAGAGAGGGAACACAAGCAGGGGGAGTGGGAGAGGGAGAAGCAGGCTTCCCACAGAGCAGGGAGCCCGATGCAGGGCTGGATCCCAGGACCCTGGGATCATGACCTGAGCCCAAGGCAGACGCTTAACGACTGAGCCACCGAGGCGCCAGGAAACAGACTCTTAACTACAGAGAACAAACTGATGGTTACCAGAAGGGAGGTGGGTGGAGGAAGGGTGAAATAGGTGATGGGGATTAAGGAGGGCACTTGTCATGATGAGCACTGGGTGATGTATGGAAGTGTTGAATCACGACACTGTACACCTGAAACTAATATTACACTGTATGTTAACTATATTGGAATTAAAATAAAATTTAAAAGTTAAAATAAGTAAATTGGAATCCTAAACTTATTCATCCTGCAATACAACCCTCACTTCCACCCTGAAAGTTACTGATTTTTAATTCAAAAAGCCAGCCAATGAATGTGTTGTTTCCTGATTCTTAAATCATGAATAATGTGAGTTAACACATTAGAATTTCATAGCACCTCTAAGAGTAAATGTAGGGCAAAGTAACTAAGAGAACTAAACACAAAAAGTATTATCCTGTATCACCCACCAAAAAGCACACACTCGTGTGATTTCTAAAATATATTTGTATTGATGCTATTCACACTTCTAAAAGCTATTCACACTTAGAAATTCTAAAATCATCCTGAAATGGACTGCAGCAAGAATTCCTAAAAGGGGTCACAAGACCTCAGTGTGAGATCAAGACTCACCCCTTTCCAAATATGAAAGCTGGGGAAGATAATTAACCTGAGCTTATTTCCTTACCTCAAAAATGAAGCAATACCTATCCTTTTTACATCACCAGGTTGGTAAGTGCAAATGAACAAGTAACTAACTATAAGATTATCAATACAAGATGTTACTAATATTATTCTGACACACTCTAAATTTCCCTCCCCCCGCTCCGCTTGCACACTCACTCTCTAAATAAAAAATTAAAATCTTTAAAAAATATAAAATAGGGGCACCTGGGTGGCTCAGTCATTAAGCGTCTGCCTTTGGCTCAGGTCATGATCCCAGTGTCCTGGGATCAAGCCCTACCATCGGGCTCCCTGCTCCGCGGGAAGCATGCTTCTCCCTCTCCCACACTCCCCCTGCTTCTGTTCCCTCTCTCGCTGTTGTCTCTCTCTGTCAAATAAATAAATAAAATCTTTAAAAAAATAAATAAAAATAGAAGACTATGTGTATACACACATACATACATATACACATTTTAAGAACGCCTATCAAGACAGTCTCAGTATACCATTAATTACATGACTTTGTATTATTAATGATGGTAAGTAATTTACTTTAAGGCAATCTTTTTAAATACTGAAAAAACTTTTTTTTTTTTTAAGTAGGGATCTTGACAAATTTAATGACCATTCTTTATTCTTCCAGCCTACCGACACACTCAGCAACTTCTCATTTCCCCTCTAGCACAATTACCTACCTGCTTTCGTGCATCCACATCAGCAGCATCTTCAATATAAGTATCATCTATTTCACGGTCTTCCAGCTCCTTCTCAGCATTTTCTGGCAGAACAATTTCAAAGTCATTCTTAGGGGCAGGAAGGCCCAACAACCCTAAACGGAGATGTTCACGAGATTCTCTTTCCTGTAGAAAAAAATTGGTCCTTCTCAATTCAAAGACATTAAGATTTCAACCAATATTCTTTAAGAGTTTCTAAAAAATAGTCTATATTAATTCTAGAAAAATGATCCCTAACTTCAGAGCTGAGACAAGTTTTTTGCTTGATTTCTATCTCACGTTCTTCTCTAAATTATTATCAAAAACGCTGATCTGTGATCAATACAATTACTTTGGGATATTCTAATAGAACGTTTGGGAATTACCTCTGTAGGGGCAGAAAAATCCTTTAGGATTTCCATTTATGGAAAACATTTGACATTGAAATTTAACAGCAAATGAAAAGAACAAGTTCAAAAGTCAACTTGTCCTTGGACTAATAAAACCTAATCTGAAAAGATGCTTGAATTTTTGTGTTTATTTTTCATAGAAATTATTATAGGGCACCTGGCTGGCTCAGTCAGTACAGCATGCAACTCTTGATCTCGGGGTCGTGAGTTCAAACCCCATGTTGGGCACAGAGTTTACTTAAAAACAAATGGAAGGAAGGGGTGGGGGGAGAGGAAGGGAGGGAGGGAGGGAGGGAGGAATTACTAGATCATATGATGGCCAAAGAAAACAGTCCACATTTCCCAAAAGAAACTGCCTGGTACCCAAAGTTTTCCCCAGTACATCCCTGGCTTACCTTTCCAGTCTCACTCCCCATAGCTCCATTACATGTATGGTAGGTGTGAGGACCCGATGAGCTGCTATGTCCAAAACATGCTCCATGCTTACTCATATCGTGGCCTCCATCTGAGATAGCCCCCAATCTCCTTCTGAGCATACCTCCTCAGCGAAGGCTTTCCAAGTGCCCACCCAACAAATGTGATTCTTTCTTTCTTTGGCCACCCTAAGTATATTGGTTTTACTCCGAGAGCTTATTCTGTTCTTCTATTTTTCAGACTTGGTTTAGTACACCAATCTCTCCAGAGTATAAATTTCCTTAAGACAAAGGACATCTTTACTCAACCTTAGATCCTTTCAAGTCTCCAGATCAGCACTTTGCACATATTACATTCTTCACTGGTTTAGTTGTCATATGGCCATTCACAGTTGACATTAGTTGATATCAATTTGGGCATCAAAAAAATTCTAAACTAACCAAATCTATACATGAAGTTAGAATTAATTTGTAAAGTAAAAATAGGCCAATATCGTTGGAGCTCATTTAAAAAAAAATCTCACAATGATTTTCTGTGGCATCATATAATAAGATCCAATAATGACATAATAAAGGCAGTAACAAGGGTAGAAATAAAACTGTGGCTTTTATACTTAGCTGTCTATATCAGCTTGCAAAATATACAAAGGAAAACTTCACTAAAATAAGCAATAAACATCAACTTAACTTTGAGATCTAGACTATTCTAAAAGTATAGAGCAAACAGAGGAATCAAGGCTCAAAACCTAATTTATGAGGTACTCCAAACTCAAATTTTATTTCACAGAAATAGAAAAAAAAAGTATCATTCAAGAAAGTAAACTAATTAGTAAATGATAAGAATAAAATCATATGAGATACAAGGACCATTACTATCAGCATAATCAATATTCACAAACATATTAAGTAGGCTTATGAGACCAAAAAGGTTCTCCTTCTCAAGTCCTCCAATCATTCTTTTCTGGCATCTGCAGGTGTACAGTATCTTAAGGTGCATGCAATACGCACCAACAAAGGGAAATATTTTAATACGGCACCCAGGAGACAGCGCAGTTTTTTTAAAAAAGAGTATTAAAAGGGAATTGACATGTACCATCTGCTTCACGTAAGAGGGGTCACTGTAGTCTGCCATTCCATCCTCAGGATTAATGTTTAACTTGTCTCGAAGAGGAGTTCTACCTGGGGTGGAGTTAATAACTGGTTTGGGAGTTGTCCCACTGCGGGGAGTCAACCCTTCAGATCCATGAGAAGGAGTCCTAGAAAGACAGAAATTCCAATTAATAAAAGTGCCAATTTTATCTGGATCATGCTTTCAAATGTTTTTCACATAAACTATTTTATGTGAAAATAATTTTCACAATATTTTATGTGAAAGCATAAAAGAAAGAAACAAAGATACAGAAATTCTGTCTCCCCACCTGGTTTTAAGTTAGCTCTCTAGGTTAAAATACAGGTTTAGTTCAAGTACCTTAGTACTTACACATAGTATTTTCACTTTAATTACTTAAGTTATTACATTTGACATTTTCTTGCCTTGCTAAACTAGGCCCACCAAACATTATTTCAACCTTTCCTTGACATACTGCAGGGTGGCTAAGAACATGGAGGTCAGCCACCATGCTCAAAAACCCCCAGGAAACTCTTTTTGAGTTCAGTTCAGTGTCTTCATCTTATCATTTGCCCCTCACCACCAGGGTCTGTTGGCTAGAGCACCACTATCATGGGTGTGCATGATAGCTCCTCCCTTTACATTTTGTTTGGAAACTGAACACCAGGCCTATATATACTGAGTGAGGGCAGAGACTCTCTTAGGAATAAAGTCCACAGACCCCACAACTTATATTTTAATTGATCAAAGCCTTTCATTGTTGTTGCTGCTTATTCCCTATATCTTGGCTCTGTTGCAAATAAGTGGTGCTGCCAGACAGGTGTTCCCAAAGGTGAGGTGAGGTGTTATCATTAAGACATGGTCCCTATCCCCAAGAAGCTTACAATCTAGTTGAGACAAGACATACACAGGAAAAAGAGGGATTAGGCTCTCCTACAAGCCTGGCAAAAGTACTAAATATTATTTAAGGATTTGGCTGCCAATGCTTCTTGATCCTGCCGTCAGGTACAGTTCCAACAGTGTGAGATGCTTCCCATACTAAACAACTAGAAGGACTGACGCTAATACTGAAAATTAGAAGTAAAGCCCAAAGATTTCCAACCTTAAAAGCTCAATTTTCATTTTAATATGAATTTCTTCTACAGCGTTTTTATCTTAAAAATTCTTAAAAGTGGTAACTTAAAACAAAAAAAATTGTAAACAAAGACTGAACTCTGACCTCTAGTTAATGATATGCACAAGACAGTGTTAGAAGTGAAGGGACAGAAACCTGCAACTTACTTTGAAATGCATTAAAAAATCAGATGGACTGACAGATAGATATATGATAAAGCAAATACAGTAAGATATTAACAACTGTAGAATCTAGGTGATAAGTGATATAAATGTTTGTTTTCCCATTCTTTTAACCATTTAACTGAATGTTAGAAATTTTCAAAATAAAATGCTGGGAGAAAAGCAATGGTAATACACAGATAAAGGACTACAATTTTTATAAAATTCAACAAATGATCATTAACAGTGGACTGATTTGTTCTTTTAAATCAGATAAAATGTATTCAGAAACAAGGTGACAGCATCAGAAACTCTGAAAAAAAAAAGAAAGCTCCATTTGGTTTTAACCAATTCCTGGATATTATTATGTTATTTACTACTATGAGTGAGAAGAAATCAAAAAGGCAAGTTAAACACTTATTTCCATTCTCTATCAACATACTAAAGCAAACATGTCCAATCCTTGAATTTGAGTTTTCCTAAAACAGGAAAGATCTATTTATTCACAATACCTGAATGGGGTAGAAAGAACTGTGTTTGGAGTCTGTACAACCTGCCGCTGTGGAGTCACACCTGAGAAGTCACTCTCGTGCAAAGGGGTATTAAGTCCACCTTTTAATGGAGTGTCCACATTGGTCAGGGCCATGAGGTTCTGAGCTTCCTGATAAACAAGAAGGTAAAGAAATGTGTTTTAACAGTTCAGCCAGGATAGCAGAATCCTCTCTTCTGGTCCTACGATATAAATCTCAAAGGAGACAGAATTCTTATACGTTTTCTTAATGAACACCAAGAGAGAAAATGAACCGTGGGCCATGGCAGAATTCAATACTTCCGTTCCTCTGTCAGCCTAACACAGCATGTCAGAGGTTTTGGAATGAAGTTTAAATGTTAAGAAATGTTTTGAAATGAAATTATTATGACCCAAAATCTTCTATTACCTGTGCCAAATCTCTTTACAATCATAAAGAACAAAGAACTCAAATTTCCCAACGTGAGCCTAGGCTAAATGTCAGAACACCCAGTTGTTTTTTTGTTTTTTTGTTTTTCTGAGAGAGAGAGAGAGAGCACGAGCGTGTACACACACATGAGCAGGGGAGAGGATAAGGGCAAAGGCAGAGAGAAAGAATCTTCAGCAGGCTCCACACTCCACACGGAGCCCAACACATGGCTCAACCTCACGACTCTGAGATCATGACCTGAGCCAAAAATCAAGAGTCAGACGCTTAACTGACTGAACCACCCAGGCGCCCCCAGAACACCCAGATTTTAGTCTGGCTTTATCACTAACTCTATTCAGTCTTCATTAGCCCCTGAGTCTCAGTTTTTTCTACTGAGAAGTTAAGATACCACTAACTCGTCTATCCATTTCCTGAGAAAATTCATGAGAGCAGGTTCCTTTCTGAAGTCTTGCTGTTCTCTTTAGGTAGGTCTGACAATGCTCTCTTTAGCGCCTCTACCACAACTCTACACTCACTACTATGACTGCACCCACAATCTCCTCATCCCCAACTCCAGCCCTGTGAGAGACTACATTTTTCAAGATAGTCATAGCCGTATCTCTCATCTCATGTGCTCTTCTTAGGATCCAACCTTGATTACGCCTCCCATCAAGAGGTGGAGGTCTATGTCCCCTCCTTTTGAATCCAGGTAGCCTCGTGAATTACCTGCAACTAACAAAATGCAGCAAAGTGACACTGCTTGACTTCCAAGGCAGGGTAAGCAAAAACACACCTTTCCACCACGCTCACTACAACATCCCCATTGGAGCCTGGAGACACCATGGGAGAAGTTCAACTGTTCTGAGGCCACATGCTGAAAGAAAGCCCAAGCCATAGAGAGGCCACAGCAGATGTACTCCCCATTCCCAGGTAAGGACCTAACCCACAGCCAGCATCAACTACCAGACATGGAAAGATGATTCAAGCCCGTATGTGTCAAGATACCCCCAAATGTTGAGTCTTCTTAGCTGAGGCCCTAGACATCATGGAACAGAGACAAGCCATTCTTTTGTGTGCCGTGTCCAAATCCCTGACCAACAGAGATCATTAGCACAATGAAATGTTTTAAGCCGGTAAGTTCTGGGGCAAAAAGACAATAACCAGAGAAAGACTTATTCCATTACTCTGTTGTTCATATTCATGGAAAGAACCTTGAATTTCACATTATCAAAGTCCTGTGTGTGTTCTTTTTGCTAGTCCAAATACAAAACATTTTTCCCCAACTAGGCTCCCAAAAGGCTGGCCAGCTTTATACCTCTGGGCAGGAGACTGGAAGCCACTTCTCTCAGGAATCTGATTAAATCAACCCCCCAAAAGAAGATGTAGAAATATTGACATCAAGAATTTGCCAGTGATGGGCGCCTGGATGGCTCAGTTGGTTGAGCATCCGACTCTTGATTTCGGCTCAGGTCATGATCTCAGGGTCATGAGATTAAGGCCCACATTTGGTCCCATGCTCCGTGGGAAATCTGTTTGAGATTCTCTCCCTCTCCCTTTGCTCCTCCCCCTGTGTGCATGAGCTCTCTCTAAAACAAATAAATAAATCTTTAAAAAAAAAAAAAAAAAAAAAGAATTTGCCAATGAAACCCCCAGCCAGTTCAGCCTGGAATCAAGGAGGCCTTACCCATACCCAAGGAGCTTCTAGTCTACTTTTAATTGCCCTGCCCTTAACCCCTAGATATAAGCAGATGCAGGCAGAGAGCTAAAGATTAGAAGATATTTGAGGAGGGCGCCTGGGTGGCTCAGTTGGTTGAGCGACTGCCTTCAGCTCAGGTCATGATCCTGGAGTCCCGGGATCGAGTCCCGCATCGGGCTCCCTGCTCAGCAGGGAGTCTGCTTCTCCCTCTGGCCTTCCTCCCTCTCATGCTCTCTGTCTCTCTCTCTCAAATAAATAAATAAAATCTTTAAATAAAAAAAAAAAAAAAGATATTTGAGGAAACAGCCAATACGAAAAAGAGAGAACAAAAGAAACTTAAATACTATGCAGGGAAAAGAAAACTTATCAGAACAAAACAAAACCATCATTAATAGCCTCAGAGAAAGAAAACAAAATATTCATTAAATAAGATACTTAAAAATTGAACACATTTTTTTTTAAAGATTTTATTTATTTATTTAATTGACAGGGAGAGAGAGAGAGAGAGACAGCGTGAGAGGGAACACAAACAGGGGGAGTGGGAGAGGAAGAAGCAGGCTTCCAGCTGAGCAGGGAGCCCGATGCGGGGCTCGATCCCAGGACCCTGGGATCATGACCTGAGCTGAAGGCAGTCGCTTAACCAACTGAGCCACCCAGGCGCCCCTGAACACATTTTTAAAAAGAGCTCTTAGAAATTAAAAATGTGATAGTAGGGGCGCCTGGGTGGCTCAGTCGTTAAGCGTCTGCCTTCGGGTCAGGTCATGATCCCAGGGTTCTGGGATCGAGCCCCGCATTGGGCTCTCTGCTCCGGAGGAAGCTTGCTTCTCCCTCTCCTGCTCCCCCTGCTTGTGTTCCCTCTCTCGCTATCTCTGTCAAATAAATAAAATCTTTAAAAAATAAAAAAAATTAAAATGTGTTAGTAAAAACTGAACAAAGATAAAATTCAGAAAATCTCCTACCAATAAATCAAAAGGTCCATTAAAATAGAAAACCAGAGAGGAATAAGAAAATTTGAGGTTCATAAAAAGGAACGGACCAATGAAAGGAGGAAACAAAAATTTTCAAAATAATGTCCCAGAATCGAAGGCCATGAGTCAGTCTCCAGAAGGAAAAGATCCACCAAGTACCTAGCACAGTGACTGAAAATAGACCCACACCAAAAAAATATGCATGTGAAAAAGAGAAGGTCATGTAAGCTTCCAGAGGACGAGAAAAAGGGGTTTGCTATTAACAACCTAAATGGCACAGGTGATCTCAATAGCTGTAACAGAAGCTATAAGAGAAGCCAGAAGATGTTGGAGCACTGCCTTCAAAACTGTAAATAAAAACCATTTCAATATGGGAGTGCCTGGCTGACTCACTCAATGGAGCACGCAACTCTTGATCTCAGGGTCATGAGTTCAAGCCCCACGTTGGACATAGAGCTTCCTTAAAAAGGGGGGAAAAAAGAAAAGAAAAAAGACTTCAATCTGGAATTCTATACCCAGTTATACTATCAATCAGTTAAGAAGCTAGAACAGTAATTTATAGATATGCAAGGTCTTAAAAATTCCATCTGCCATGAACCCATCCTCAGAAAGTTACTAAAGAATATGCTTCACTAACAAGCGCATAAACCAAGAAAACCAAAGGCATGGGAGCCAGGGAAAAGGCAATCCATGGGACTTTCTAGGATGCCAGGAAATCAAGAGAACAAGCTGTAAATAAGATCTAAAGAGTAATCAGTCCAGAATAGAATGTCCACAAATTCTGGGAAAGACTTTGTCAAAAAGCTAAAAATATCTAAAATTTGATCACATTACAGGAGATTTACAGAGATAGTGTCAAGTCTAGAGTTAAATTCCTGCTAAGTAATCAGAAAATTTAGCATCTGAATAAGCATTAACTCAAAGAAAAACCTAATAATGTGCAGTATAGTAATTATAAGGCACTTTGTAGGCTCAGCAATATGGTTTACACAGTCATAAAGTAAACAACGAATACAGAGCTAACCAAAATTATGATATAACCGTAACAGAGTATGAGGTAATGTAAAGAGTTCATACAATGCATGGTACAGGAAGAGGGTGTGAGAGCCAAATGTTCAAATTCCCAAGTGGAAAAATGGCTAAAACTAAAAATAAATCAATAAGTAACAAGTGTCCTAGCAATAATGTGATAAAAACAAAGAGTTGTAACTGGTGTCTCTAGACAGCAAGCAATGAGGAGCACAACTGTTTCTCTTACTAAGTTTACAGGAACTACGTGACTCCAAATCAATACCTTAAAATTACATTTCTGGGGGTGCCTGGGTGGCACAGTTAGGCATCCGACTCTTGATTTCAACTCTGGTCATGATCTCAGGGTCGTGGGATTGAGCCCTGCATCAGGCTTAAGATTCTCTCCCCGACCCCACCACTCTGCCCCTCCATACCCCACTTGTGTGCACTCGCTCTCTAAAAATAAAAATAAAGTGGGCGCCTGGGTGGCTCAGTCGTTAAGCGTCTGCCTTCGGCTCAGGTCATGATCCCAGAATCCTGGGATCGAGTCCCACATCGGGCTCCCTGCTCGGCGGGAAGCCTGCTTCTCCCTCCCCCACTCCCCCTGCTTATGTTCCCTCTCTCACTGTGTCTCTCTCTGTTAAATAAATAAATAAAATCTTTAAAAATAAATAAATAAATAAAAATAAAAATAAAGTAAAATAAAATTATATTTCTGACTATCAGAGAAGAAGAAATGAGATGTAAGGGTGATCAAGTATTTTATTAGGTGTAGCTATCCTCTGGCATATAAACTCCCTAAGAACACACAGAGCTGTACATCCCATGTGTTTAGGAGAGAGGAGAACAGTACTGATGGCAGCCTGTCCCAAGCTAAGTACAGAAATGCAAGAAGTTTTAAAAATCACTACTACAACTCCTGAAACCAATACTGACTATATGTTAACTAAAATTAAAAAAAAAAAAAAAACCAGACTACATACATCTGCTTTCTAGGATTGCTAAGCAATATGAAATTTTGAAACGTTGTGCTTTAGTAACAGATACTAAAGATTAATGAAGGAGGAAGAGCTGGCTTCGAAAAAAAAAACCTATGGGGCGCCTGGGTGGCTCAGTTGGTTAAACGACTGCCTTCGGCTCAGGTCATGATCCTGGAGTCCCGGGATCGAGTCCCGCATCGGGCTCCCTGCTCAGCAGGGAGTCTGCTTCTCCCTCTGACCCTCCTCCCTCTCATGCTCTCTGTATCTCATTCTCTCTGTCTCAAATAAATAAAAATAAAAAAAATCTTTAAAAAAAAAAAACAAAAAACCTATGAATTGATAAATGTAGAAATGAAACCATGTAAATTAATCTGCTAATTGAGCTTCCCTAATAAAATCTCTAGAATCTATGCATTCAGGACTCAGTTTTAAACTGTTTACCCTAAAAGAAACACACCAAATCTCATACTGTCCTCCTTCGTAACACTTTCAAGGACAACAAGATGAAAGACTCGCACTACTACATGACAGCGTACCTGCAGAATTCTATCCTGGGAAGCTGGTGTGCGAGGTGTTCTAAGAGCGATGCTGTTGTTGGTGACATTGTACTCAGACAAAAGAGTACTGGAGGCAGAGTTTGTTATGCCAGATTCCTCAGCAGTCTGACGTGCAATTTCACTTGCTTGGCCTACTTTCACAACCTCCTGGAGTTCTGCATCTGAAATCTAAAAAGATACAGTTATCACCATACAGCAGTATTTTAACCAGAGAATAACACAGCTTCAAACTTCCACATTCTGGAAAGATGAATTGCTGAAGCTGTGTGATGAGTACACAGGGGTACTACTTTCTTTACTATTTGTGGATTTGAAAATTTCTATGATAAAGTTTTTAACAGTCTACCCTATATAATATGGGGAAAAATTCCATGTATGATATACTATCAAGCTGTAAAGTCTTTTATTTCCATAACGAAATTCTTTCAAACCAACTAACATTAATAAACCAAGAACATAAAATAATCGTGTTTGTATAAAACTATCAAAGGGGGAGTGGACTGAAAGCCAATTAAAATATCAGAGTCCAAGGGTGCCTGGGTGGCTCAGTCCTTAGGTGTCTGCCTTTGGTTCAGGTCATGATCCCACTCCCCTGCTTGTGCTCCCTCTCTTGCTATCTCTCTCTGTCAAATAAGTAAATGAAATCTTTAAAAAAAAAAAAAATCAGAGCCCAGAGGAATCTGGGTGGCTCAGTCAGTTAAGAGGCTGCATTCCGCTCAGGTCGTGATCCCAGGGTCCCGGGACGGAGCCCCACATCGGGCTCCTTGCTCAGGGGGGACCCTGCTTCTCCCTTTGCCTGCCGCTCCCCCTGCTTGTGCTTGCTCTCTCCCCTGCCCCCTCTGTGTGTCAAATAAATAAATAAAATCTTTAGGGGCACCTGGGTGGCTCAGTCATTGGGCGTCTGCCTTCAGCTCAGGTCATGATCCCGGGGTCCTGGGATCAAGCCCCACGTTGGGCTCCCTGCTCAGCAGGAAGCCTGCTTCTCCCTCCCCCACTCCCCCTGCTTGTGTTCCCTCTCTCGCTGTGTCTCTCTGTCAAATAAATAAATAAAATCTTTAAAATAATTAAATACATACATACATACATAAATAAAATCTTTTTAAAAAATCAATCCACTGAGCCACAAGATCCCTTGAGAAAAATCAAAAGGCATTACCCTTGGTAATTTTACAAAAATAAGCATCCTAAGGAGAACTAAGAAAAAAAGTTACAGGCAAACTCTTAATTTAAGAAATATCACTACTTGGGGGCGCCTGGGTGGCTCAGTTGGTTAAGCGACTGCCTTCGGCTCAGGTCATGATCCTGGAGTCCCAGGATCGAGTCCCGCATCGGACTCCCTGCTCAGCAGGGAGTCTGCTTCTCCCTCTGATCCTCCCCCCTCTCATGCTCTCTCTCTCTGTCTCATTCTCTCTCTCAAATAAATAAATAAAATCTTTAAAAAAAAAAAAAAAAAGAAAGAAATATCACTACTTGGAATGACATCTGACAAATTGATGTCATGTTTATACCCAAGAATTTTGTGTTGATGCAGCCAGCACATCATTTGGAGAAAGAAGCTCTTCTGTCCCCCTAGCTCCATCCGTCTGCTCCATTAAACCATCCAATTCTACGGAGCTGTACTACTCAAAATAAAACAAGAGCTTATTCAGAACTCCCATAGTTTTGACCAACTAAAATTAAGTCAAAGGAAGAGAGCGTGGATAAGCTGAATGAGGATATGTTTCTTTCTCTCTTCTCCACAACTCCCACATTAATTTTCACACTGTTGTCTCAAAAAGAGAAGTATGACACAACAAAACGTTCCCTATAAGAAAGCAGCCTAGGGGGTGCCTGGGTGGCTCAGTCGGTTAAGTGCCTGACTCCTGATCTCAGCCCAGGTTTTGATTTCAGGTGAGCTCAAGCCTGGCATTGGGCTCCATGCTGGGCAGCACTGGACTCCACACTGATCTTGGAGCCTACTTTAAATAAAAAGGGGGGGACGCCTGCATGCCACAGTAGGTTAAAGCCTCCAACTCTTACTTTCAGTTCAGGTCATGATCTCAGGGTCATGAGAAGGACCCCATATCAGGCTCTGCGCTCAGCACAGAGTCCGCTTGTCCCTCTACCTCCTACTCTGCCCCTCCCCCAACTCATACTCACACGAGCATGCACTCTCTCTCTCAAATAAATAAATAAAATCTTTAAAAAAGAAAGCAGCCTAAAGTCTACAAAGCCAAATATCACCTTTATGCTAGTCAGCTACAATAAGAGGCCAGGAGCCCTAACCTGTTTGCAAATTGCTAAGAGCTGACAAACCATCACAGGAACAGTTTAAGGCCTGATATAATTTATACAGAGAAGTTGTTACTTATTTACCATACTATATCACAAGGACTTATTTTTATGTGGCTCACCTATTACACTGTGAACTTCTTAAGGGCACCCAACACCTAGCAAAAACCTGGCACATAAACCCTCAAACATGTGCTTGCTAAATAAATGATAAAGATAGGAGTTCACACAATGAAAAACTGAATTAACAGATTACCTGAGGGGCAGGAAGTACTAGTTTGCTTCTCTTTTTAGTAAATTCAGAAACACCACTTGTCTGAAGAATAGCTGATGGTAGATCAGATTCTTTTTTCCTTTTCAAATGTTGCTTGTCTTTTTTTCTGTCCCTTCCTTCTTTTTCACTATCATGAATCAAAGTAAGTAAGAGATTTTGTAAAGTTACATATAATCAATAACAGTAAAAGCCATATAAATACTCATACACTTTGAACAAAATAATTCCATTCCTAAAAAAATTACTGATAAAAAGACAAAATCCAAATACATTAAGTTGTGCCCTACACCATCACTTACCCACTATATTCAAGAGGAATGCAGCTTAGAATAGCAATAGAATTATTAAGAAAATAAAAATACAGTACTAACTATGTACCAAACATTAAGCCTATATAAAGACTATGATGATAAACAAAATGTTATGTATAATTTCAAAATGAAAACAAAACTACTCCTACATCATGATAATACTCTTATAAAAGTATGTGTGTGCACATATGAAAATGAAGGTTGACAAGCATACAAAATGGGAAATAATTATATGAACAGGATGGGATTAAAACACTAAATTTTTAAATTTCCCTTTAAAACTGTTCTTTGGGGCACCTGGATGGTGCGGTCAGTTGAGCATCTGACTCTTGATTTCGGCTCAGGTCATGATCTCGGGGTTGTGGGATCAAGCCCCTCATAGGGGTCCACACTCAGTGGGGAGTCAGCTTGTCCCTCTCCCTTGGTTCCTGCTCCCACTCTCTCTCTTAAATAAACAAATCTTTGAAAATATCTGTTCAATAGTTCGTTATGATTCTTTTTTTCCATTATGATTCTTTTTAATTCACAAATTTTTTTAAAGGATATTTAAGTCCTGACAATTAATTATGAACACCAGGCTCAAGGCCACCTTTGAAAGCTCCAAGAATGCCTCCTCCCGGTCTGCATGTCAGCCTCTTCCCCATCTAGCCTGCCCCTTCCAGACGATCCGCTCCCACTTCAACCTCTTCATTTGCACAGGCTACCTAAAACAAGGTTTTAATTTGAGAAATAAATTTAATGGAGTACATCCAAGAAAATCCTGTTTCACAGTGCCTGACATCTGTCATTTAGTACCAATCCATGTCAACAAAAATGGAAGGTCAGTGAGGGAGCAGAAAACCAAAACTCTCTTGACAATCGGAAAAGGTTCTCCCCACGATATTCAGATGCAAGAATGGAGAAACCCTAAAAATCCCTAAAAATAGGCAAAATCCTCTGCACCCTTAGACAAACATTTTACAAACACACTTATCCCCATTAGTTAAAAAGATTTAAGTATGCATCAGTAACTTTTTTCTTTTAATTTCATTCTAAGAGAAACAAGATAAAATTTTCACTAGGAAAGACAAAAAGAAACATCCAATTTGGACAGATTCCTCAGGCCATTAGTGAAATAACTAACCCGCTCACAAACGTACATAAACGTTAAGATGGTGACTCAGTGAGCAGACAGTACACCAGAGCCAAGTGCTGACATTTCAAGAGATGCAAACACCCTTTTGTGCCAGAAACATGACAGCAAGGGTCACTGGTTTTCTCAGAAAGGTGAATCCAGTAAATAAATAAAAACACTATGTAGGCCACATTGTCCTACATAATAAAAATCTGGCTCTGACAAGAATAGTACATGGCCCTCCATAAAATTCCTACTATACTTTTTCATTTTCAAAATCAGAAAGGTGACTTACGATCTTAGTTCCCCATCAAGATCCTGTTGTCTTAATTTTCTGAAATCTGCATCAAGAGCCTGGTAGTTTTCCTCAGAAGTATCATAGAAACCAAGAGCAGGCTTTTTTTCAAACGGGATTTCAGCATTATAATCAACTCCTCTCTTCTTTTTTCTCTTCTTCTGAATTTCTATACCAGCTGCTCGAAGTTCTCTTCTCTTCTGGAGGGCTGCAAGGCGCCTGAAGAAAACGAACCCAAGATCACTTTCAAAATCACATACCATGTAATTTTATGAAGAAATAGAGTGAAGAAAACTATCTGGTTATTTGGGGAAGAAATATTTATTTAAATCCTCACCTCACACCATTCACCAAAACACTGGAGATTGGAATTCCCCTTCTGATTTAAAGGTTACACACACAAGCAAAAAGAAAAACTAAAAGGAACTACAAGTAAATATGTGTCTGGTCTCTGGATGGGAATGTATTCACTTGATATAAATTAAACAAAGGGCAAAGGTAAAGATCAACAGCTTTGCATTTTTTTTTTTAACATTTTATTTCAAGTAATTTCTACACCCAATGTGGGGCTTGAACTCACGACCCCGAGATCAAGTTGAATGTTCTACCAACTGAGCCAGGCGGCTGCCCCAACAGCTTTGAATTTTAAATTTTATATCTCTATACCACTATTTTTATTAAATCATGAAACAAAATTAACAGGCAAATAACAGGAAAAACATTTGCAATTAATATTGGCAATGGTTAGATATAAAGAATCTATGCAGGTTTTCGGGTTTTTTTTAATGTATCCTAAGGGGGGATAAAAAGAAGGAAATAAATAGTTCATTAAGGAAAAAGATGCAAATAGCCAAAATAATAAAAGGTATACTTAGCTAAGAATCACAAATTAAATCAAGTACCAATTCTGCATATCTCATTAGTAGTCTTCAGTTTTTTTGTTTTGTTTTAATGGCAAGCCATGCAAAAAGTGGACAATCACCCACACTGGTAATGGAAAGTAAATTGGTAAAGCTTCCCCAAAGAGAATTTGGAAATATACATTAAAACCCCTAAAGTTTCTCACATTTTTTAACCCAACAATTTCACTCCTCAGCCTTTAGCCTAAAGAAATAAATACCATGAACAAGGCCTTAGCTACACGACTTCACCAAGCCCTGTTCATTAGCTGATAACTGGACACAATCTAGACATCCAATAGTAAGAAATTAGTTAAGAGCATTTACAGCATAGCTATAAGATAGGATATTATACAGCCATCTGTATAACCTTAAAAAAAAAAAATCTGTAAATCTACTCTGCCACAGAAAGATGCTCAAGACATATTGGTATGTCAAAAATGTTACCAAATTCACATGTTACAGAGCAACATGTAAAAAATTATATGCATATCTATCAGTGAACCTATGCATATAAGATGTGAAACATGTCTACCAAAATATTAACAGTAATAATCACTGGAGGTTGGAATTTCATTTCATCTTTACTTTTTTGTACTTTCCCGTAATGCTATAATTTTAATGATTTAATGATGAGAAAAGCTATTTACAGTATTAATGGGGGAAAATCAGTATGCAGAGCCTCATGCTGGAAGTTGCTCTTATGTTTTTGTTTTTGTTTGAGATTTTATTTATTTGACAGAGAAAGACACAGCAAGAGAGGGAACACAAGCAGGGGGAGTGGGAGAGGGAGAAGCAGGCTTCTCGCTGAGCAGGGAGCCCGACGTGGGGCTCAATCCGAGAACCCTGGAATCATGGCTCGAGCTGAAGGCAGGCACTTAACGACTGAGCCACCCAGGCGCCCCTCAGTCTGTACTTCCTAATTGATTAAGTTCTTTCCAGCTTATCTTTTAACTCAGACAAAAGACCCTGCAGGCAAAGCAACCCCCCCTCAAGCAATAAAGACTGCCCTGAGCCAGCGAGACCCTGTGTCAGTGACTCCTAGACAGCGATCCACCTGCCCTTTCCGGCCCACCTGCACGTACCCACTGACCTTTGTCCCACATTTTCCTTATATAAACCTGGAAATATTTTCGGCACTTTGGAGACAGTCTTTGAGATGTTAGTCCGTGGTCTCCCCGGTGGTGGCCTCACCAAAATACATTCCTTTCGTGATTCACCACCACTCATCTCTCTGCCTTTGGAATTTTGTTGGCAGCAAGTGGCCAAACCCGGTCTGTTTGGGACCCCCCCGGAGCTGGGTGCTCTTACACCCCTGCACCCCAATCTAGCAAAATTCAGTTTAAAAAAAGTGTGGTAGCTGAATTAAGACCCACCTTCTCTTCTCTTACCCCCTCTCAGGTCTGGGAGATAGAAACTCTACTCCACGCTGATGCAGCCAAAAACACAGGGTTCTCTCCCCCACACCACTCTAGTTCCCAACAGGAGTGCTTTCATTCCAGGAGGGGCAGAACATCAGCAATTCCCATCCTGCCTCCAGACACCTGTTGCAGAGGCTAAATTCCAACAAGAGTTGCCCAGACCAGGGCCACTTCCTTCTTCTGCCCAAATAGAAGCTCTACCTTGGGACAATGCTGTTAAGAATATTGGTGCTCCAGTAAGTAGTCCTTGTCCCAGCTTGAGGGATGAGGCTTCCACAGTAGGAGAAGCAAGCCATGGAGACCTGCGGTTGCTGCCTACACCTAGCACTCAGCTCCTACGGTGGGGATGTCATTCAAAGACAAACACACCAGAGCACAGGCGTAGAACAGAGAACTCCAATTCTCCCCCAAAAGAAACTGACTTCATTTGCTAGAGTATGGAGAAAATGTTCAAGCCTAAAGGTACTCTCAAAAACAGTGGAACTTGTGAAAGGTAACTGGGAAGAAACTGGTAGATTCACTGAAGATACAGGCTAAACTATAGGCCCACTAGTTTGCCAGAGAGAAACAAAGAAAGAAACAAATGGGAGGGCCTTCCTGGGGTCAGAACAAATACCTGACCTGAAGGTTAGTTCTGAAACTACCCCTTCAAAGGAGCCCAGGTTTAATTGGATCAGTTTGTGGAACAATTTGTGCCCCACGACATTGTTGGAAACAATACAGCAATCAGCTGGCAATTAGTAGAGTTTAAAAACTGGGTGTAGCCAGGGAAAAAGATGTCAAAGTATGGTCAAAACCACATCATCCCAGGGTGACTGTGGGCATACCCAAGACCGCAGCCTCCATGAGGAGCAACATCAGAGGCTTTACATTTCTGAGGAGAGGGAAGGAGAGAAGAGACTTCACTAAAATAACCCACAGTCACTAAACAAGCAAACAAATAATATAATAAGTTGGGGGTAGGGAGAACATAGTACCCAGAATTGCTCCAATGTATCATCTAAAGTGTCCAGTTCCCAACAAAAAAATTTGAGACACGCAAAGAAACAGGAAAGCATGACCCATACACCAGAAAAAAGCTGGCAACAGATGGCAACAGAAACTGCCAGTGAGAACAACCAGATGTCAGATTTAGTAGACAGACTTCAACAAAAAACAAAAGGAAACTGTGATTAAAGAAGCAAAGGAAGGTATGATGAAAATCAGTAAAGAGACAGAAATAACTTAACCATATACAAACTGTGGAGTTGAAAAGTATAAAGCTAAAAGGAAAACTTCACTAGAGGGGCTCAACAGTAGGTGTGAACCTACAGAAGAACTAGTGAACTTATGGAGAGATGGGTATACAATCTGGAAAAAAAGAGAAAATGAAACAGGAACAGAGCCTCACAGAAATATGGGGCATCATTAAGTGAACCAACATATGCACAATAGGAATACCAAAAAAAGAGAGAAAAAGGAGAATAAAATATTCAAAGAAATAATGGCTGAAAATTCCCCAAATTTACTGACCCTACACATCCAGAACAATCAACAAACTCCAGGTCAGATAAAAAAGAAATCCGCAAACAGAAACATCATGCTAAAAATGCTAAAAGCCAAAGACAAGGAGAAAATCTTGAAAGCAGCAAGAGAAAGATGATTTCATGGCTTAGAAGGGAACTTCAATAAGATTAATAGCTAACTTCTCATCAAAACAGCATATACAATATGATCCAATTTTATACAAATATTACTATGTGTGTATGTATACACATAAATGCAGCTCTGCATTATTTTTTTAATTATTATTTATTGTTATGTTAATCCCCATACATTACATCATTAGTTTTAGATGTAGTGTTCCATGATTCATTGTTTGTGCATAACACCCAGTGCTCCATGCAGAACGTGCCCTCCTCAATACCCATCACCAGGCTAACCCATCCTCCCACCCCACCCCCCACTCCAGCAACCCTCAGTTTGTTTACTGAGATTAAGAATTCCTCATATCAGGGGCGCCTGGGTGGCTCAGTCGTTAAGTGTCTGCCTTCGGCCCAGGTCATAATCCCAGGGTCCTGGGATTGAGCCCCGCATCGGGCTCCCTGCTCAGCTGGAAGCCTGCTTCTCCCTCTCCCACTCCCCCTGCTTGTGTTCCCTCTCTCGCTGTGTCTTTCTCTGTCAAATAAATAAATAAAATCTTTAAAAAAAAAAAAAAAAGAATTCCTCATATCAGTGAGGTCATATGATACATGTCTTTCTCTGTTTGACTTATTTCGCAGCTCTGCATTATAAGAAAGGCCTGCAAGGACACATTTACAAAGTAAAGTAATTTCATTCTTTAAATAAGGGAAATAAAGACTTCAAATGACATCAGAAAACCTTTACAATATCACGCTAAGTGAATAAAACCAAGCCATATAGCATCGTATCAACCACTCCCCCCAAAGAGAAAAAAGTACAACACGGGAGGAAAAGTGTATTACTTTTATAATCAATAATCAATAAAAAGCTTTAAAACACCCAGGGACGCCTGGGTGGCTCAGTCTGTTAAGCAGTTGCCTTCAGCCCAGGTCATGATCCCAGGGTCCTGGGATCGAGTCCCACATCGGTCTCCTTGCTCAGCGGGGAGCCTGCTTGTCCCTCTGCTTGTGCTGTCAAATAAAATCTTTAAAAAAAAAAAAAGTTTTAAAACAGATCTGTAATTTAGCATTAAAAAAGGAAACAGGCCTGCAATGTATTTTGCATACAAACCAATCTAATCTAAGATACATGTACAACACAAGTTATTAAGATTTATAGATTCTATAAGAAAATCTACAAGATAGTACAGATTTAAATCTGCTGAACAGTATTTAAAGCAAGCAATACCAGTTATACTCAGCGAGAAGCATCCTTGGCCCGACCTACGTGGCTAAAAGGCTCAAAATATTTGGTCTCCAAACACCAATGGACAAAAATGAAAAAGTGAATTTTTTTCAACCCTACTCACATTACTTAATCTTAAATAGTGTACAAAAGAGAAAAATGACTGAAACTGGGCAGAAAATTGAGCATCTCCTCTTGGTTTACTGTTTCAGGCCATTCATACCCCCCTTAAGTAACTATTTTGGTCTAGTGACTCGCCAGCTATGCCAACAAGCATCCTCAAGCACGAATCCTCCATCCCAGGATCTGGAACCTCAGAGTCATTACTAGGGAAACTATCACATCCTAGTCATCAAGTCAGGAAGCACTTCCCAGTATGGGGACCAAAAAGGCAGCTGTGAAGACTGAGAAGGTTATTCCAATGCCTGAATTCCAAAAGCTAATAAGCTCTTATACAATTCATATTTTCCTTTTATCCACTTCATCTTGGTTTCTGGGCCATTAGAAATTATATCAATCATGGATCTAACCAAAAGGAAAAAGGAAGGGGAAACTGGAGAAAACCTTGAACAGACAGCAATACTTAATTCCACTCACTTTTTTTTTTTTTTTTTTTTAAGATTTTATTTAGGGCGCCTGGGTGGCTCAGTTGGTTAAGCGACTGCCTTCGGCTCAGGTCATGATCCTGGAGTCCCGGGATCAAGTCCCGCATCAGGCTCCCTGCTCAGCAGGGAGTCTGCTTCTCCCTCTGACCCTCCCCCCTCTCATGTGCTCTCTCTCTCTCATTCTCTCTCTCAAATAAAAAAAAAGATTTTATTTATTTATTTGACAGAGAGATAGACAGAAGAGCACAAGCAGAGGGAGTGGCAGAGGGAGAGGGAGAAGCAGGTTCTGCACTGAGCAGGGAACCCGATGCGGGACTTGATCCCAGGACCCTGAGATCATGACCTGAGCCGAAGGCAGACGCTTAACCATCTGAGCCACCCAGGCGCCCTCCACTCACTTTTTAAATGAAAATTTCTGAGAGCCTAAAATTTGGTTCAAGCCTCATTAACTCCTTCTACATTCAGCCAAGTTTCCTATTTCACAACCTGCACAATACTAACCAAAAAGATTAAGTGGCAGTCATGCAGAAGTCACACAGCCTTGTGTGTCCTCTAGCCATCTGACTCCAAGATGGCTATAACAAATGAAGCTCTCCTATGTTAACAGAACAAATTAACATATCAAATGACTATCTGGGCATTACCTCTGCCAACATCTTTTACTTCTTACAACATCTTTTCAAATACATTTTTTTCCCTGTATCTATTCTACAATGGTTAAGGGGAAAAATAAGACTTTTCCAAAGTACAGGGGTGCCTGGTTGGCTCAGTTGGAGGAGCATGCGACTCTTGATCTTGGGGTTGTGAGTTCAAGCCCCATGCTGGGTGTAGAGATTACTAAAAAAATAAACTTTAAAAAATTTTTCCAAAATATAAAGGAACTAAAGAATATTAGCATAATTGGAATTGGACAATTCCAATTATTACTCACCCAAAAGAATTGATATATCAGTTTTACTGGGCCTAAAAATGCACAGACTAATTGTTCAACTATAGATGGAAACAACCATACCTTGCTTCTTCCAATTGCTTCTCTCTTGCTTTCCTCTTGGCTTTCTTTCCCTGAGTATTTGCCAGGCGGGCTCTAGCTTCAGAAAGCATCTCAAGTTCATCTGCAAAAATAAAAAGAAGAAAAACTAAGTTCTCCAACATAAGCAAGGTATGTGAGACACACACTGTATTGCTTAAGAAGAGAAAAACCATAAATGTAATCATTATATAGCAGAGCATAATGGTAATAGCTTGGGTTTTGAAATCAGAAAAACCGAAGTTAAAAACTAGGCCCACTTGCTAGCTATGTGACCCTGGATAATTTATTTACCCTCCCTGGGCACATTTACCATCTATAAAAAGAGAATAACAAGTCCTATTTCATAGGAATGTTGAGAAGAACTAAGTAAAATATAACAGGTTATATTTTTAATTTAATATATTTAATATATTATATTATTACATATATATATTTATATATATATTTAATATATATATTTAATATATAATTTAATTTAATAATTTAATTACATCCTTCATTATCGTAACTAACTGGCACAGCACCAATCGTGAAAAACCATTACAAAAACTATTTAATTATAAAGAAACTGACAATCTCCATTAGATACACCTTTCTTCCCCTCTATTTCTCTCTTCCAATACATTTCCATGGCTCCCAGAGTAAAACAGATTTCATTACTGATGCCTTAGAGCAATTCCTATATAAGGCTGTCCGGTGGAATCACAAGGGAACTTTAAAAAAAAAAACTCAGGGGCGCCTGGGTGGCTCAGTCGTTAAGCGTCTGCCTTCGGCTCAGGTCATGATCCCAGAGTCCTGGGATCCAGCCCTGCATCGGGCTCCCTGCTCAGCGGGAAGCTTGCTTCTCCCTCTCCCACTCCCCCTGCTTGTGTTCCTTCTCTCGCTGTGTCTCTCTCTGTCAAATAAATAAAATCTTAAAAAAAAAAAAAAGACGCTTTTTGTTAAAATTAATTAATTAATTTTTAAAAACTCAGATTCCAGAATTACCCTCTCCACACTCCAGCTTACTGACTCAGATCTCCTGGAGAGGCCCTGGTACCTGTGTTTTTAAAAGTTCACCAAATGACAATGATGCAGATGGAAACCACTACCTTTAAACTTTAAAATTTTTAAATCTCAACAAATATTCACTGAATGCTTCACAACAACCCTGTGGGGTAAGATAACTATTACTCTCTATCTGGCAGGAAAGAGAATCAAATCTCAGAAAGATTATGACTTGCCTAAGGTCAAAGAGCTAGTAAGTGGCAGATGCTGAGTCTAAAATCCAGTTCCTCTGATTCTTGATTCGAGGTCTGAAGAAGGGATTGTAAGTCAGCCTCATAGTAGTGCAGTGCCGCCTTTTCACAAAGATTAAATTACCTGCCTGAAGTCAAAGCTGTTAACAGGACTGGAACCCCAAATCCTGTCTTCTTATTGCTGCCTCTCTCCATGGAATGGGAATGAGAAAACAGAATCCTCAAGTGCTTACCACTAGCCTTTAGGAAATTTGTCTAGTAGTATATTACGCTGCTTCATTTATTACATGAATTAAAAAATCAAAAGCTAAAGACACAGTGTCCAGAAAGAGCAATTACTTTGTCACAGAAGACTGGACACATTTAGAAAGAGAATAATAACTGCAGACAGAACTGGGGTTCTAAAAAGTCAGAGGAGCTTAGAAAGAAACTCAAAGAGTTAAAACGAGACTGGAGGAATCTATGGTTACCAAAGAAATAAATTCCTGAGCAGCATATACTCACCCTCATCCATATCAATTGGATCAGGCCTTGCTGGTTTTGTTTCTGGATTTGGATCTATTTCTCCAGGTTTAAGTTTTCGTGGATCATCTGTTGTTTCCTCTTCATTGTCTCTCTGTGCAGCTTTATCCCTAGAAAAAGGCCCAGAGAAGTTAAGTCACACTATCACACCATTCAGTCTTAGAAATAACCACGTTTCCTAGCACTAGCACTCTTTTCTTTCAAAAACCGAACAGATGGGGGCGCCTGGGTGGCTCAGATGGTGAAGCGTCTGCCTTCAGCTCAGGTCATGATCCCAGCGTCCTGGGATTGAGCCCTGCATCGAGCCCCGCATTGGGCTCCCTGCTCAGAGGGGAGCCTGCTTCTCCCTCTCCCTCTGCCTCTCTCCCTGCTCATGCTCTCTCTCTCTCTATCTCTGTGTCTCAAATGAATAAATAAAATCTTTAAAAAAAAAAGAAAGTAAATCAATAAAAAAAAAAAACCAACAGATGCGCATTCACAAAATAGTGATTCTACTATTGCTTCACCTGAAAGAAATGGTATTAAAATTCTAATTTCAATGAGTGTTTCCATTCACTATGAAATACAATCCAAGCAGCTCCTTAATCACAAATGCAGGAACACTATACAAATTAAAAATCTTTTAACGAAGAACCAAGAGGTCCTGACTAACTCTCAGCAACGTGATTATGGGTGATTTTTTGCTTTTTTACTACTTTTTCCCCGATTTTCTAGAATAAATACATATGATTAGTCTAACACGTTCGAATTATTCTTTTAAAAAATATGTAACAAAGGGCGCCTGGGTGGTTCAGTTGGTTAAAGCATCTGCCTTCAGCTCAGGTCATGATCCCAGGGTCCTCGGATGGAGCCCTGCATCGGGCTCCCTGCTCCGCAAGAAGCCTGCTTCTCCCTCTCCCACTCCCCCTGCTTGTGTTCCCTCTCTCGCTGTGTCTCTCTCTGTCAAATAAATAAATAAAATCTTAAAAAAAAAAAAAGTAACAAATATATAATTTTAATCAATATAGTATACCCTTAGAGTATATAATTCAATAGCTTTAGCTCCTCTGGCTTTACTCCGATGCAACTAAATGTTTAAAGACAGAACATGCTAAAAGTTTATTCAGTCTCATTCAGGAGATATACATATATTTGAATACTGCGTTTGGAAATTGACTTACAAAAGAAACTCATAGTGTTCCAAGCACTGGGCAGCTGTTCTTCCGATGATTGGTGCAATGGTCCTCCACTGAGTTGGCATCAACTTGGCCAAGTGTAAGAGTTTTTCTTCTTCTTCTCTGGACCATTCTGTTTTCTTAATGCTTGGATCCAGCCACTCGTACCTATTAAAAAGATACCATTTTAAACATTGATTGGTCACCTAGCATGAATATCCTACTTACACATTAGATATACTAACCTCTAAGGTCTGAAAAACACAAGCTAACTCTCAGCCTTCAATTATGAAAGCTGTTCTTTGTTCACAACAGAATGTTCATTATTTGGCTAACTTTACCCCACTCAATATTCTCTAAGTCACCAAATTCTACTGTATTTTAATTATGCAAGACTAGAATGCTTGAAAAAGGTAAACTAACTGAAACATGATTATATGGCTTCTTTCTCATCATTTCCATTCATCCTACACTTTGTTAGAGGCTTTGAAATTACCTGAAATAAGACAATAACACCTCACATTTTTAGTGTTTCTAGTTTTCAAAACACTGTCTCATACTTTGATTCAGTTCCCATTCAGTTCCCAACACCTTGGTTTACTTCGAGTTTACCTGCCTGAAGTCAATGTAGTTAACAGGACTGGAACCCCAAATCCTGTCTTCTTATTGCTGCCTCTCTCCATGGAATGGGAATGAGAAAACAAAATCCTCAAGTGCTTACCACTAGCCTTTAGGAAATCTGTCTAGTAGTATATATCTGACTTACACTCATTAAATGGCTTTCCAACATCATACGCTTTATTTGGAGTTTTTAAGTAAAACTACTATGCCATCCTCTATCTTTCCTATCACACCACCCAACCCACCTTTTCCATCCAGTCTACATAGCTGGCAAATAAGATACAAGCCTTACTAAATATTGGGGCAGGAGCTTAACTCCACTGAGAGAAGCAGAAATCAAAACTTCTTCAGGCTGAGGACCATCTTCCTCTTTGGGATCCAACCTTTACATTCTGATCCTTTCTCCCACCCAGGTGCCTAGGAAATTAAGTCACACTTGTACAATCCAAAATATGATCCTAGTACCACATGGGTCAAGGCTGAGGCCAGATCACTCATGCCAAGCGCTTAATAGCAAATATACAATATTTCAACTATATTAGGGCACCTGGGTGGCTCGGTCGGTTGAGCATCTGCCTTCGGCTCAGGTCGTGATCCCAGGGCTCTGGGATCAAGCCCCGCATTGGGCTCCCTGCTCAGCAGGAAGTCTGCTTCTCCCTCTGCCCCTCCCATTGCTCATGCTTGCACTCGTGCTCGCTCTCTCTCTCTCTCTCTCTCTCTCTCGCCCTCTCTCTGAAATAAATAAAATCTTTAAAAAAACAATATTTCAACTGTATTAATAAGGGAGCTCAGCTAACTGTGAGCTAGCCTAGAAAATTAACCATTATTTATCATTAATTTCTTCGGGAAAGTAAGTTCTAAATCAACTTACAAACTTTTGGAAGTTTATGGAACGCAATCCATTTACAGTACTAAAATTTACTTTAGTAAATTTTAGTACTGTACTAAAAGTAAATTTATTTTATGCTTCACAAAACACTCAAGTACATTAACTTGTTTGAACCTCATATCTCCATCAGTTAAGGCCAAGTATTATTATCCCAATTGGGAGAAAACAGGGACAGGAAAGAGGGGATAGAAAAATGGCTTGCCTAAGACCACAAAGGAAAAAAGTGACAGCTAAGGCTTAAATCTAAATTCTCATCTCCCACTCCGTCACACTTTCTGTTCCATCACACTGCCTGCTTTCTTTGGCAAGGTTCAAAGAACTGACATCTTCCTCATCATAATTAAGGTCGCTTTCTGCTTTCCACTCATTAAGTGGTACATACCATCTGGCTTTGCACTGCTTTGCTGATTTTCTATGCAGCAGTGAGGCAATCCTAGACCACTGGTTTTTTCCATATTTCATTACCGCTGCTTTCAGAATTTCATCCTAAAAAAATTGTCGAAGAAAAACAATATATTCATCACAAAATTCTAAGTGAGAAAAGACAAAATTTAAATTAACTCTAACAGGATTGCTAGGGAGAAAGTCATAAACACACATACACACACACACACATACACACACACACACACCCTAGGTAAGGGGGGAAAAAAGTACAAAAACTTCATTTACTATAATAATAAACAACAAACCAGAATTGGCAAAACGCAAAAAATTAAGAAGAAATCCCTCAGAAGGATATCCTACATCTCCTTATACACAAACCCTCCCCCACCCCAATAAACTGGGAGTACCGACCAATCTGAGAAACCCTACTTGGCAGTGATTAACAAAAAGTACTCTCCAATGTTTGGCTGTCATCCTCCTCAAAAGGATACAGCTCAATCATCTATTTATTCATTCAAAAAACATTTCCTGAACACCTACCTTGTACCAGGTCTTGCATACTTAGAAAAAGAGAGTGAAATAGGCCTCATCCAGCCCTCAAGAAGCAAGTCAAGACTCTGGTGAATCCATTCTCCACTCCAGTTTACAAATATCATTTTCTCTCCAGTCCCATAACCCCTGCTTTGACCTAAAAATCCACATTTCAGGTCTAAACTAGAAATTAAGTATTTCTTCCCTGCCACACCAGTCAGTTCTTCCTCCAGGCTCTAGTTACTATTTCACCAAGGAACCCATTCTGATATGGAATTTACCAATTCCAGGGGAGTCCAGAAAGGTAAGCCACAGACCCCAAAGATAACAGAGCAATAGAGGAACATATTTGGGGCTTTTTACTGTTAGGCTTTTTTCCACATTGAACTTGAGATGCATGCCTCATACATGAGCCATTCCACCCCATTCCACACCCCCATAGTCCCCCCCTCATCATCAGAGATTTAAAAAGACTGCAGGGGGGCGCCTGGGTGGCTCAGTTGGTTAAGCGACTGCCTTCGGCTCAGGTCATGATCCTGGAGTCCCGGGATCGAGTCCCGCATCGGGCTCCCTGCTCAGCAGGGAGTCTGCTTCTCCCTCTGACCCTCCCCCCTCTCATGCTCTCTCTCTGTCATTCTCTCTCTCTCAATAAATAAATAAATAAATCTTTAAAAAAATAAATAAATAAAATAAAAAGACTGCAGGGCTTTGGCCACTACACAGGAATCCGGCTGTTACTTGATTCTGTACATCTGTCTCTCCCCCAGAAGTCATCTCTTCCCCAGTTTAAACACCCTGGTTCCCTCTGTGCAAGCTGTGAGACAAGGCTGTCATGAATTTTATGTGTAACTTTGTCACAATACTGCTAGCCTTAAATACATCTTCAACTAAGTACATATAGCAGTTATCCACCCTACTAGATTCATTCCGCAAACATCTGCCAAACAACCTATTTCATATTGGTTACTGTCCTAGGTTCTAGGGATTCCAAGACCTGGTCCTCTTGCGGTGCTGCCTGCTGGGAAAAAGCAGTACCAACTAGCACTTACTGAAAGACTCCTGTGTGCCAGACTCTGTTCTAAATGTTGACTCATTTAATCCTCAAAAGAAGAAGATGATGATGATTCCCATTAGAAAACTGAGGCTCTGAGAGGTTAAAAAACTTACCAGCATCACACAGAAGAATGTGATGCTTGCAAAAGGGTAAAGCATGCTATCCCAAATGGACGAAAGAGGTGCCATGGGACCACTGGGGGTGTAACTTATTTTTACAGAGTGACTGGGCAAAAATTCCAAGAGTTTTTGACGGTTTTGAAGGATGGTCAGAAAGATGTCAAGCAGTAGGACATTCCAAGAAGGCACAAGAAGTAAAAAGACACTGCCTAAAAAGATACAATGTGCTCAGGAAACTGACAAATTCAGTGCACTCTGAATACAAACTGCACCAAAAATCTTACTTGCATTTTACTCCTTCACCACTGCCTTTCTGCTAGTCATTGGCATCATCCATTGCATTTCTGGAAGCAAAGACACTACTGTAGGCAGTTTGTCCTATCTGGTTTCTATCCTGGCTGAGGCGGAGTGACAGGAAGAGACAGGCCTTGGATCTGTCGTGATGACAGACAAGTTATGCCTTGGTAACAGGTAACAAGAGGGTTGCGGGCATAAACGAGCTCTCAACTTGGCACTCAAGCTGCTTCCCCTCTGCAAGGAAGTCAACGAAGAAACAAAGTTGTGGCCACAGCACTTCCCTATATTGGAGTTATCAGAGAGGCACCGCACCCGGGCTGAGGGACGGGGGTGTGCCAGATTACCAACTCTCACTGATACCTGCCCCGCCCCCTCTACACTGCGAGTTCCTAAAGGGCGGGGGCACATCCTCAATTCAACAAATATTCACTAAGGGCCTAACAAGTGCCTCGCACGTCGTCAAGTGGTTAAATCACAGTCCCCGTCCTTGGGGTGCTCAGATAACGCAGGGCCGGACACCAGATTAAGACCCCGAGGGTCCGCCCCGCGGTGCCCCCCCATGCAGACCAAGCAGGGCATCCTCCTCGCCTCCCCGACCTCCGCGCGCGTGCGCATAAGCTGCCGAAGGGGGCGGAGGGCAGCGGACGGCGGGAAAAGGGGACTTACCTCGGTATTCCTCCATACGCCCCCCTTGATCATAATTCGAGGCATCTTGGCTGTGGGGTGTCTCGGCAAGCAGCCGAGAGGAGCTTCACTGAAGTAGTAACGGCGCTGCGGCCACGGGACCTAAAGCCGCCACTTCCTCCAACCGCGACCTTCTGGTTTGAAGAGATCTGCGCAGGCGCAAAGCTGGGGGGGGGGGGGTGAGCAGAGTAGCAAGTCTCGCGAGAACCCGGTTGCTGAAAGGAATAAGTGCCCTGTTGTGAAACCTCTAGTCTAGGAAGACAGATAGAAAACCATCAAACCCCTCTGGCTTAAAGCGCTCTACGCCGCGCGCATGCCCAAAACAGGATGGAGGAAACCACGGCTCTCGCGAGATATCGCCGGTGGCTCTTAGTAAGGAGGGTTGTGGTGGAATTGGTCGTGACGTCACCTAGTGGCGAAGAGAGGGAACATCACGCGTGCGAAATTGGCCCAGGGGCTCTAAGAAGAGGTTTGTTAATTTATTAATTTAGCACTTTATTAAGCATTTAACTAATAGGAATTAGTTCGCAGACTACTCAGGAAAAGGAAATATTTTATTTAAGCCTATTTTTCTAATCTGTAAAATAGAGGTAACAGTATAGCAACCTCATAGGGCTGTCCTAAGGATTAAATGGGATCATAAACCTAGCCCAGTATTTGATACATAATAACTGCGCCCTAAAATGGCAGCTATTGTTACAAGAAGGACAACCCCGGATGATCGGTGATTGTCCCAGAAACCTGCAAAAATATCTTGTCAGAGTTTGTCATACATCGCTCTTCAGTCTATGTGGATTGATAGTTACCATTGATAGGCACTGGTATTAGACAAACTCCGGTTGGATTGAAATCTTGGCTCCCTCATCAGCTTGGGTAATAACTTTGCGGAGTCTCAGTATCCTCATCTGAAAAGTGGAGTTAAAAACTACCTCATAAATTTGGGTGGCAAATTAATTGAGACATACCTAAAACCCGATGTGGTAGAGATTGTCAGACTGCCATTCTGCCTCCCAGGGACTCACTCAGTGTCCTTTGCCCTTTCAAAACATCCCCTTGGTGCCAGCCCTGGAAGGTATGAAAATATTTAGTGGACTGGGAAACATCTGAGTATTTATATAATGTCTTTCTCTTTGTATTTCTTCATTTCTTCATTTGCCTCTTCTGGAAAAGCTACAGAATTTTCTGATTACATTTTTGTTAAATTTCTTTACCTTGAAATAGGAAGTTGTACCAATAAAATCACTACTTTGTTGAGAGAAAGCAATGTTGGCTTATGAAGGACACACAGACTCCATGTAAGATCTCAGTCCACTCTTACCTCTGCTATCAACTGTCTGTGTGACTGGTGACAAGCCATTTTCTGTCTCTGGACCTCTGTTTGCAGTGCTTCTCTGTAGGATGTGTGACCATTACCTCCTGTCCAGCCCAGCTCCCATCATCTACTCAGTTACTGTGGCTACAGTGTCTCACTCTTTTTCACTCTCTCCTTCTCTTTCTCTGTGTGTGTGTGTGTGTGTGTGTGTCTCTCTCTCTCTCTCTCTCACACACACACACACACACACACACCCCACTGGCCATTTGATTGATCTAATCAAAGCTGAACCAATTAAGTCTCCTCCCCAGGAATTTTAACACTGGAACCCAGAAAAGACCGGTCTCTCTGCTGGCCAATGAATCTCTAACATGTGACACCCAGGAGTTGTCTGTCACCACATTTCTGTATGATGTACACTAAGAAGGGAAGAAAGCAAGTTCCAGATGCATTGAGAGAAGCAGAGAGGAGAGTATAAAACAACAGAGGTAGGTCCTGACTATGCCGGAGTCCCTGGATCCAGTATGTTCCTCGGTCTTAGGTGTATCCCTGTTCTTGAGTTATGATTAGTTCCCTTTCTGGCTTTAGCCAGCTGGAGTTGGGTTTTTATTATTTATAAGCAAGATTCCTAACAAATCAGATTTGGACCAGTCCTCTCTCAAGAACGATTTCAGATCTAACATTACAAGTGTCCATGATGATGGTTTCTCCTCACTCAGGACCACATTTACCCTATATGTGAACCTTTGTACCAAACAGAAAAAGGTGCTTCTTCAAGGCACTTTATTAACACCTGCTGGAAAATTGTCACAAAATACTGATGTTTTGGAAATAAGAGATAAAATACAGGAAAGAGATCTACCATGTCTACGATGTAAATTGTGCCCCCTAGAAGCATGCATTGTACAACCTGCCCACTGGAACAAAGCAGCCCTGTCAAATGTCCTCCAAGGCACCCTTGAACATGCAGACTGCATGTCTCACTTAAGGATTCAGAAAATGCAACATCATGCCAGTTCCAGGATGTCTAAAACCAGACCGCATAGCCATGAATACAAGAGGCTGTCCTCCAATATGGCATGGATTGGCCAGCACCCCCACCATATCACCCCAACCTCATCAGCCAGGACTCAGGACCCCCACAAAGAGGCCATTGCCACCCCAGGGGCTGCCAAGGATCTCTGGCATGGTAGCCATAAGGAGCAGCCATCATTAAGCAACCAGACTATACAGTCAGTCATTGTGATCTTTAAGAAAGTGAGTGGTTGGGGCGCCTGGGTGGCTCAGATGGTTAAGCATCTGCCTTCGGCTCAGGTCATGATCCCGGGGTCCTGGGATCGAGCCCCACATCGGGCTCCTGGCTTGGCCGGGAGTCTGCTTCTCCCTCTCCCTCTGCCTCTCCCACTGCTCATGCTCTCTCTCTCTCTCTGTATCTCTGTGTCTCAAATGAATAAATAAAATCTTTAAAAAAAAAAAAAAGAAAGTGAGTGGTCATTTCTAGACAGAAGCTTAATGAGAAAGAGACTCCACTTCTTCCTCACTCACCCACATATGTTCCTCAGAGCACTGGCTGCATGGGGACACTCCATTAAAAATAAACAAGTTTTGGGGCGCCTGGGTGGCTCAGTTGGTTAAGCGACTGCCTTCGGCTCAGGTCATGATCCTGGAGTCCCGGAATCGAGTCCCACATCGGGCTCCCTGCTCGGCAGGGAGTCTGCTTCTCCCTCTGACCCTCCTCCCTCTCATGCTCTCTGTCTCTCATTCTCTCTGTCTCAAATAAATAAATAAAATCTTTAAAAAATAAAAAAATAAAAAAAATAAACAAGTTTTTTACAATTATTTGAATTTGAAAAAAGCAGCATGCTCTATCCACTCCCTTTTACACAGTTGCCAAAATCAAAACCGGTAGAGAAGTTGTAAGATGAAGAAATTTGTTTCTCCCTGTTGTGGGTTAAATTGTGCACCCCAAACAAATATGTTCCAAGTTCTAATCCCTGATACCTGTAAACATGACCTTATTTGGAAATTGTCTCTGTAGATGTAATCAGGTTAAGATGAAGTCATATTGGAGTAGGGTAGACCTTAATCCAATGACTGGTGTCTTTATAAAAGAAGAGACAAGACACACAGGGAGAATCCTATATGAAAAAGAAGGCAGAGCTTGGAATGAATGATGCATCTACAAGTCAAGGAAAGCCAAGGATGGCCAGCAACACCGGAACTAAAAGAAAGGCATGGAATATCTTCTCCCTTTGAGCATCCAAGGATGAACCAACCTTGCTGACACCTTGATTTTGGACTTCCAGCCTCCTGAACTGTGAGAGAATAAATTTGTCTTATTGTAAGCCACCCACTTCGTGGTACTTTGTACAGCAGCCCTAGGAAATGAATACACTCCCTTTTTTTTTTTCTTAAGATTTTATTTATTTGTTAGAGAGGGAGAGACAGAGAGCGAGAGCACAAGCAGGAGGAGTGGCAGGCAGAAGAAGTAGGCTCCTCGCCAAGCAAAGACCCTGGGATCATGCCTTGAGCCAAAGGTAGGCACCTAACCAACTGAGCCACCCAGGCGTCCCTACACTCCCTTTTTAATATAGCATTTCCAAACTAATTTGACCCTGGAAAACTTTCTTCTTAAAATATCTATTGATATTTAGGAAACACAACTGGGGAAAATCTGGCCCAGGAAAAAGAAGCTGGGGGTCCATCCAGTCACAAAGGAGTAGATGTTAGCAGGAAGGTTTGTAGGTTGCATTGTCCCACATTTTCCCACCTCTCATTCCTTCCTGAGGAGCCGGCTCTGACTAGGCCAACTTTGCTTAGCCAAGAAAACAATCAAAATTCTAGTTTCCTTCTTGTTTTTACCATCACACTGTGCAGGAAAGGGCTAAAGTTAGGGTCAGAAGCCTGTGACAATACCAAGCCATTAAGGGCTGGGGATAGCCATCCTCAAAACCTTCATCATCTCCCCAAATAAGCAGATGGAATTTCAGTAGAAACACTGTGCTACTTTGCAAATATAACTTCAAGACAAAACCTCTAGCCCTGCCCTGTCTACCAGATTGCTACCCCTAAGCCTCTCCCTTCCCTTTAGAAACTCCTCAGCTAATGTAAGAAGAGGCTAATGTCTGGGTAGAAATGGTATTCCATTACCCTAAATGCTAGTAATTCATACCATGATGCTAAATTGGCTTGGATTTCACTTACTGACAATTCTTTGTGGTGGATCCAGTTGTAGTTTGTAATTTTTTTTCCCCTCGGGTACTCATATTCATTATTTCTAGGAAGTCCCCTGTGTCCTGAGGTGGCAAAATGTTCCCAAAAAGATTTTGTTTTTTCTCAGGACACAGAGGCTCAACAGTCTTTTTGAGTTTATTTCTCGGTTTGGGATCAATATTCTGATCAGGTAATTTATATCTAGACCCTGCATCCACATGGCACAGACTTGGGATTTATATTTCTCACAAGAGACTTTTCTATGTTCATGTACCAGACCCCAGACCCATATACGCAATTACATCCCAAACAGTTCCACTTGTGTGTGTCACAGCTTCCTCAAATTCAACTTTCCAAAACTGAGCTCCTCCATAAAGCTTATCCTTCTCCAGCATTCCTTATTTCAGTAAATAGTACCAGGCTGCCACGTATGGTAGTATAAGTAGTTCACTGCACAAGGGACAAAAGGAGGCTGAAATCTAGTTTGCACGCTGCTTACCAAGCAGTGCATCCACAGGACTGTGTCCACCAAGATGGCATCTTTCTCTAAGTGTATAAAGATACCACATGGGCTTGGGGCACCTGGGTGGCTCAGTCATTAAGCGTCTGCCTTCGGCTCAGGTCATGATCCCAGGTCATGATCGAGCCCCACATCGGGCCCCCTGCTCGGCGGGAAGCCTGCTTCTCCCTCTCCCACTCCCCCTGCTTGTGTTCCTTCTCTTGCTGTGTCTTTCTCTGTCAAATAAATAAATAAATAAATAAATAAATAAATAAATAAATAAAGATACCACATGGGCTGGACACCACATGTCACCCTGGCAAGAGCACCACCATCTACCTTGTGGCCATTTGTCCTTTTCCCATGACTCCCCCCACCCCAACCATATCCAAGTTATCTCAGAGTCTTGCACTTTTACCTCCTAGTTAGACCTCAAATCCATCTCCTTTGTGCCACTTCTGTAAGTTGCCAGATTTAGCAAATAAAAATACAGAACTCCCAGTTAAATTTGAATTTCAAATAAAAAACATAATTTTTAGTATAATTATGCCTCATGTGTCCGTTCTGTCCTCCCTTTCTAAAAGGACCCCGATTTCTACTCCAACCCACACTGTACCCAAAGAAAAGAACACATTTCTAACCAGATGATCTGAGCCACGTGCACACCCCATCACCACTGAAAACTGCCCCCACCTCGTTCCCCTATTTGGTGGAGACCAACGCATTTCCTCAGAAGACAAATCATTGGGATATTTGGCTTCTCGTTTGATATGAGGCTGGGTCCCTCCATGCACCTTAAGAAATGTTTACTTCTCACATATGTATTTCTTACAAAGTCCAGGTTTGAGAGCCTCAGTGTTGGCTCCTCAAGTCAGTAAGGGCCCCCTCATCCCCAGGGTAAGCTCACACCATAATCCTTCCTAGAGTTCCCCAGCATTGGAAGGACACCAAATGGGCTCCCGTGTCCTTTCCCAGAGCCTACTGGGAACCTAGCCAGTAGACCCCCTAAGAGGTGCACCATCCCACATCAAGCCCGTTGCTAAGTTTCAGGTCAAGGCATCACTCTGTCCTGATTTTCCAGCCTCTCAGTCACTGGCATAATCTGGAGGAGCTCCAGCTCTAACATACTTCAGCAAGTCAAATCCTATAAACAAGGCTTTTATCCGCCCAGCTTTTGAGGGCTAAATGCAGAAGAGCAAAAGGAAACGATCTAATCAAACTGGGTACCTCATACTGGAAACGTAGACAATGAAAGGAATTATACAGAATATTCATAAACCGTGTGTGCAATTGTAAAGGTTTAACATTCTAAAATCTTAACATTTTGACAACTGAGAGTGCAGAGACTACAGAAACAGCCTTGGAATGGTCTTCAGTTAGCTTATTTGGACTTCAGAGCCACTAGCACTAAACAGAATATTCCCGCCAGGCCACAGGAGCCAGTTTTCATTTTTCCCAGGATCTGAAATTAGAATACCTTGTGTACAACGTCAAGTTGTTACTCTAGTGCATTTACTTGGAAATGTCACGTACAAGTTGTTTCTATTAAGCCTTCGAGCTGCAGTTATTTAAGGAAATGAACACACGCACACACCCACATGCACACCTGCACACACATGCTATTTATCGAGGACCTAAAGTGAGGGGAAGGGGAACGTCACACCTTAAAAGGTCCAACATTGGGGGCACCTGGGTGGCTCAGTCGTTAAGCGTCTGCCTTCGGCTCAGGTCATGATCCCAGGGTCCTGGGATCGAGCCCCGCATCGGGCTCCCTGCTCAGCAAGGAGCCTGCTTCTCCCTCTCCCACTCCCCCTGCTTGTGTTCCCTCTCTTGCTGTGTCTCTCTCTGTCAAAATAAATAAATAAAATCTTTTAAAAAAAAATTTTTTTTTTAATAATTTAAAAAAAAGGTCCAACATTTTTGAGCCTAGAAAGGACGACTGGAAAAGCTAGGACACCCACATAGTTTTGCCACTTGGCCATTTGTTCTATGCCTTAGTCTCCCCAAAAGATGCATGCACATGCATTTATGTCCTGCCCAAAGTTAGCAATGGAACTCCTCACCTGCTGGCTGTTGGCAATGCCAAGGAGTCTAAGACCTGGCCACTGAGATGTGCCCACAGAGCACCCCAAATCCAGTGAAAATTGCCCTGATTTCCAGGAGATGGAATGTAGCACTACAACTCCAGGAGGTCAATTATTCAATAGTTTTCTTTTTTAATCCTATCTACTTTGGTTTAGAGCCGCGTGTAGGAATTATGTAGACCTCTTTGAAATCTAGAGGCTGCTATTCATCTTCTGAAACTGTACTTTGGTTCTTTTTCTTAATACCTTTGCTGTGTAGGACTTCTTCCCTCCAAAACACCAGAGTCCCCTCTGAGAGCAGTTTCCTGTTCCACTTAGATAATCCCATCTGGAAATTCCTGCAGAATCACTTTTTGCATTTATATTGTGTTCTCCATTATGCATCCACACGGGTGGTCGCAACTGACTTTTTTATATTTTAACTCATAGAAGCACAAAAAATTATTTTTTTCAGGAGTGGACGTATTTGAGAAAATCTGTTGGCAACCTCTTCTTTCCTTTCCTAAATTGTTTGGTTTTATTTTCTTTTCTGGATTTTGTTAGGGGTGAGCTTTGTGTCCCAGGGACAAGAGAATCAGCACAGAGGCATGTTGATGTCAACCCAAGGAGTGGTCAGACACAGTTGCTGGTGGTATGACCATCATGTTCTCTGTTAGTAGGTCCAAAGGCCAGTATGAAGAGACCAGGAATGTACTGTGTTCTAAACCTGCTTCATTTACTTCGGCTATGGCTAGAAATAATGCTTTGACAGGGAAAGAAACCATATCTGTGTCTTGGGCATTTTGAGTGTCAGTCTGGGCCCCAGTTCTCTCTTCCCATTTTGAGGTTTGGGGAGACCAGACCTGCAGCCCTCATTAGCCAACCAGCGAAGTCTCCTTAGTAGAGCAGATTGGCTACGAAGATGCTGAGTCACTGGCTTGACTGCGGAGGGTCACAGCCTGACTGTATACAGTTGGCTTTTGTTCCCATCTTTTTCTCCAAATATTTGCTTCTTGCCTGATTGATGAAAGGCCTTAAGACTCAGGACTGGGGGACACCTGGGTGGCTCAGTCAGTTAAGCGTCTGCCTTCGGCTCAGGTCACGATCCCAGGGTCCTGGGATCGAGTCCCGCATCGGGCTCCCTGCTCCGCGGGGAGTCTGCTTCTCCCTCTGCCTCTGTCTCTCTCTCTGTCTCTCATGAATAAATAAATAAAATCTTTAAAAAAAAAAAAAAAAAGACTCAGGACTGGGTCCTCATTGAGCTTCAGTCCTGCATAACTGGGTGGACAAATGCTACAGAAATGGGGAATGGAGTTGCAGGAGGATGGTATGAATTACCTGTGCAGATCCAGCCTTCACATTTTTCCAACACGTACCAAGCGAATAGTAGAGAAAATCTCAAATAGTATTAATAAAATGAGAACAATTTTACCAAATTAATGAAAGCTCCGTGTCTGCATTTTACCATTGATTTGAGAGCATCTTTCGAAAAGTAAATTTAACTGAATAAAACTGAAGGTGGGCTATCTACCAGTAGAACTGCATCAATGTTAAGTTCCCTGACTTCAGTATTTGTATTGCAACTGTTGGAGAAGATCCCTGACCTTAGGAGATACATACTGAAGTATATAGTATGTAGGAGTAAAGGGTTATGATGTCGGCCACTCACTCTCAAATAATTCCACAAAATAATAAGAGTAATGAAAGAGAGAGAAAGAATGCACAAAGTTTGACAAATGTTAACAATTGTAGATTCTGGGTGAAGGATACGTAGGTATTTGTTCATTGTATGAGTCTCATGACTTTTCTGTAAAGTTTGAAAGTTTTTCAAAATATAAAGTTAAAAAGAGCAAAGCACAGTGATTACTCATCAAAGGCAAACATTTGATTTAGAGCAGTCACACTGACAGAAGCAATCAATTGAAAGAGGCTCTCCAGACTACAGTCAGTACATGCTCTATGGGCCTGTGTCTGTTCAGGATCATCTTGCAGAATCCAAAGAACCTGTGGATAGAGGCACGGAGTTAAAGGCTGTGCTCTGTTACAAGACTAACAGTGCTCAACCAACATACTCAACCAGCGATGCGTGGCCGTGACATAGGCCCAAGGAACCACGTTGGGGCAAAGGACACCATCCACTCCGGGAGAGGCTTTGTCTTCTCTCCTCTCCACCGCGAAGCCTCTCAAAAGCCTGCTCCTCTGTGCTTGCCTCCAGTTTTTATACTATTCTTTGAAGGTTCTTTAACCCACCAGGAAGGAGTAAACCGTGCATCAAGGGGGATGCTGGTTGCCAATTGTCAAGCTCCTCAACCTCTCTTATCTCATTCTGCAGCTTGTTGGCCTTCTCCTTCACCCAGAAAGGCAAGCTGTGGAAAGAAAACAACAGCTGGGTTTGAGTTTGTCTGCTGCGAAATGTACAAACACCTTCAAGGGATATGGTACTGCATCCTCAAAAGTAAGAAGGCCTCCAATTTAGGAGACCAGTGATGAAATAAAACACCATGTTAGTTGTTCAGCATTCCCCTCTCTCCCAAACCCAGACCTCTTTTCTGCCCTTCTCTGCCCAGAGAGCTGACCCCTGAAACTTGCATCACCTTGACCCCACCATGTGCCCCTAACACGTTGGAGGCACCAGCAGGAGACCAGAAAGCAAGCAGAGGTTGGGGTATTTCTCACCTAGCTCTTCTACTCCCGCTCATCTCCTGAGGAACCCCAGTTCTGGCCACAGCTGCACTCTCCACTGCCACAACCCCTTCTGGACAGCCCTTCTCCATTTCCCACCAAGCTGGGCAACAAGATCACTCTTCTTGCTGTTCAGACCTGGGAGTGGTAATAGCTGCCCACTGGAGAGAGCCTCAGGGGGGCTTCGCCCTTCCCTATAATGTCCCTTGACCTGTTCACTCATCTGTAAACAGTCCTTTCATTAAGCTCTCTTCAGAATCCCACCTGAGTGTGTCTTCTGTTGTTTTGCTGTGGCCTCAGCTAATGCAGACCCCCGGCACCCTCCCAAGTCTGCAGAGATTTGAAAGGACATATGCTGGACTATACTGTGTATGTTCCAAGAGGTACCAGGAATTCTGTGACTCCTGGGATGAGTCAGAGAAAAAAGATGAAGAATCTTTTCCTCTTTTGGTAGCTACAATTTTCATACATTTGGGGAGAAATGCACCATGATTGGGAAGAATACCCTGATAAATCTGCTAGGGATGGGGAAGTCCCTGCAGGAAGGAAAAGGGATTACCACATAGGTAATAGGTGGGAGTCAAGGATATCATGTAAAGCTGACAAACCAATAGCAGAAGCCCAAATAAGACCAGCAGGACCTTATTTGGGCAATATAGAAGATACTAGCATAAAAAGGAATCACTAGAACAAAACCACAAGCATTCCTTAAGATCAAAAGAAATCATTTTTTTAACTTTTGTTGAAGCAATCAAAGAAAACAGACTCATGGTAAAAATAATATAATACACATAATAAGTGTAACAAAATATTATGATAGAATTGAAATCAAATCATTAATTCAAATGATCTTAATTCACCTATTTTTTTAAAGATTTATTTTTTTATTTTAGAGAGAGCGCGCATGCGTGCGCACGTGAGTGGGGGGAGGGGCAGAGGGAGAGGGAGAGAGAATTTCAAGCAGACTCCCCAGTTAGCGCAGAGCTCTATCTCACAACCCCGAGATCATGGCCTGAGCCGAAATCGAGAGTCTTGGATGCTTAAGTGACTGAGCCACCCAGGCGCCCCTTCATTCAGCTATTAAAGAAAACAATTTTCAAAAAAAAAAAAGAAAAAAGAAAACAATTTTCAGTTTGGCTCACAAAAGCAAAATCCAACTCTGTGTGTAAAAGACAGACCTAAAACAAAGTGATTTGAAAGTCTAAAAACAAAAGAATGGGTAAAGGTATATTAGTCAAATGCAAACAAAACAAAGTAAGAATTATAATCTGAATATCTGGCAATGTATAATACAGGACAAAAAGCATTAAATGAGAAAAAGAAGATTTTTAAAAATTTTAATTCCAGTGCAGTTTACAGTGTTATATTTGTTTCAGGTGTACAATATAGTAATTCAACAATTCTATACATTACTCAGTGCTCATCATGACAGGTGCACGCCTTAATCCCCATCACCTGTTTCACTCCATCTCCCCCCACCCACCTCCCCTCTGGTAACCACCAGTTTGTTCTCTACAGTTAAGAGTCTGGTTTTGGTTTGTCTAAAAAGAAGACATTTTTATAATGTTAATGGCTACAGTTAACAATAAAGATAGAAATACATTAACAGACCCATTTTCAGTCCAAGCTAGGCCAAATGAACAATTTTAATCAAAATGATAAATCTGGAGTGCCTGGGTGGCTCAGTCGATTAAGCATCCAACTCTTGGTTTTAGGTCAGGTCATGATCTCCCAGTCATGAGATCAAGACCCGCATTGGGCTCTGCCCTGAGTGCAGAGTCTGCTTCAGATTCTCTTTCCCTATCCCTCTCCCTCTCCCTCCCACTTACACACTCTCCCTCTCTCTCGTGCACAATAAATAAATAAATAAAATCTTTTAAAAAACCCAAAAAGGTAAATCTTCTGGGTATGTATCTAACTTTGCATCCTGATGAAGTAGACACACCTTCAAAGGTATGTAGAGACAGTCCCCAAATTGAGTATGTATTAGGTCACAATGAAAAGTTGGTAAGTTCCATAAAATAAAAATAATAAAAACAATATTTTCTGGTCATTAGGTGATAAAAGTAAAAATGAATTACAAAATAAAAATCAAAAACCTCTTCCACTCGGAAATTTTAAATCTATTAAGTAATTCTTTAGCCGAAAGGAAGAGACCAACACAAACTGCAGAATTCTTTAAAAAATAAGGATAATCTGGGGCACCTGGGTAGCTCAGTCGGTTAAATGTCCAACTCTTAATTTTGGCTCAGTCATGATCTCAGGGTTGTGAAATCAAGCCCTGAGTTGGGCTCTGCGCTGGGCATGAAGTCTGCTTAAGATTTCCTCTCCCTCTGCCCCCCTATCTCTCCTTCTCCAAAAAAAAAAAAAAAAATATATATATATATATATATATGAGGCTAATCTACACATCAAAGTTTACAACATATAAGCAAAGCAGTGGACAGAGGCACTTTCATAACCTTCAGTATAGATATTAAGAAAAATTAAAGAATTTAAAAATGAATTAAACATCCCATTCAAAAAATAGAAAAAGAGGGGCACCTGGCTGGCTCAGTCAGTAGAGCATGCAACTCTTGATCTAGGGGTCATGAGTTCAAGCCCCACATTAGGCATAGTGATTATTTAAAAAAAAAAAATAGAGGGGCTGGGGCACCTGGGTGGCTCAGTCGTTAAGCGTCTGCCTTTGGCTCAGGTCGGGATCCCAGGGTCCTGGGATTGAGCCCAGCATCGGGTTCCCTGCTCAGCAGGGAGTCTGCTTCTCCCTCTCCCTCTGACCCTCCCCTCTGCTCGTGCGAGCACTCTCTCTCTCTCTCTCAAATAAATAAAATCATTAAAATTAGTAAATAAATAAAAAAATTTTTAAAAGCTCTTACTTTCATTGATTTTTTTCTATTGTCTTTTTAGTCTCTATTTCATTTATTTCTCCTCTGGTTTTTGTTATCTCCTTCCTTCTAACAACTTTGGGTTTAGTTTGTTCTTCTTTTTCTAGTTCCTTGAGGTGTAAAATTAGGTTGTTCATTTGATATCTTTCTTTTTTCTTAACATAGGCATTTATTACTATAAACTTCTCTTTTAAACCTGCTTTTGCTGCATACCATAAGTTTTGATATGTTGTATTTCCATTTTCATTTGTCTGAAAATATTTTTTATTCCTCTTTTTAATTCTTCTTTGACCCATTGGTTGCTCAGGAGCATGTTTAGTCTTCATTATATTTGTGAATCTTCCAGATTTCCTCTTGTAATTGATTTCTATTTTCACACCATCATGGTCACAAAAGATACTTGATACGATTTCCGTCTTCTTAAATGTATAAAGACTTAGTTTGTGCCCTGGCAATTACTTTTATTTTAAATATTCTAGAAGAGTGTTTACAAAAAGTGTACAGTACAGACATGAGAGGCCCCAATTATGTGCCTCAAGTAATAATGCAGTATCATGAAGGTATTAAAGCTCCCAGGTTTGGAATAAAAGGCTTTTATTTCCACTGAGCTCCAGGGTTTGGTCTCCCAGCTGGACTCTGGTGGGTCAGACAGTGGGTCACTTGCCCACTCTAGCCATACTTATGTGAGACTGTTTTGTATTAGAAAGTGAAATTTTGGGGCGCCTGGGTGGCTCAGTTGGTTAAGTGACTGCCTTCGGCTCAGGTCATGATCCTGGAGTCCCGGGATCGAGTCCCGCATCGGGCTCCCTGCTCAGCAGGGAGTCTGCTTCTCCCTCTGACCCTCCTCCCTCTCGTGCTCTCTGTCTCTCATTCTCTCTCTCTCAAATAAATAAATAAAATCTTTAAAAAAAAAAGAAAAGAAAGAAAGTGAAATTTTGGAGGGCACCTGGGTGGCTCAGTCAGTTAAATGTCTGCCTTCAGCTTGGGTCATGATCTCAGGGTCCTCAGACTGAGCCCTGCATCAGGCTCCCTGCTTAGTGGGGAGTCTGCTTCTCCCTCTCCCTCTGCCCCTACCTCCCCACTCGTGCTCTCTCTCTCTCTCAAATAAATAAATAATTTTTTTAAAAAGTGAAATTATTTTAAGATTTATTTATTTATTTGAGAGAGAGAGAGAAAGCACACACACACAAGCAGGGGAGGGGCAAAGGGAGGAGTAGAGGAAGACAAGCAGACTCCCACTGAGCAGGGAGCCTGACGCAGGCTCAATCCCAGGACCCTGAGATCATCACCCAAGCCAAAATCAAGAGTCTGTCATCTAACCCACTGAACCACCCGGGAACCCCTGGAAAGTGAAATTTTTTATACTGACACATATCATTTTCTAGGTCTAAACCCTACTTGGGCAAATAAATGAGGTTCAGAATGGAGCTGAACTTAAAATATGAGATCAGAGGGATGTTACTTCCCTCAAGCATTCCAATGGCTTTTTCTCTGCCTCTTCAAGCTCTAACCATCCTCCCTGGTTGCACTCATTTAAGCATGGGTCTTTCTTTTCCAACAACGCTTGGGTTTTGGAAATCAGGGACCCTGTCTTTTTGCTCCATATAAACCCCCCACAGTGCATACCTAGCACAACACAGGGCCTCTGGCGGGCTGTCCATCTTATCGGCTGAAGATGTGGGCGACCCATCTGCCAGACTCCACAGCACTTGCCCTCCAAGTGTCTCACCAAAAACCCTCCATACACACTGCCCCACCTGCTGGGATACCAAAGGTCCCTCTCTGTTGGGTGTCTATGAGCTCCTCCACCGAGAAACCTGTAAATAACCGATAACTTCATAAAGATCGGATAATATGAAAACATAATAAGAGAACTCACGTAGGAATTTGTGGAAGAGGCTCAAGTGGAATAAAAGTATCGTATTTCTTTTCATAAGGCACTCTGAAAAACAGAACAGACAACTGTATGATTGGTATGGCTTCTACAGCAGAGAGATCAATGCATCATCATATTCAAGAAAATGTCTTATTTTCTGGTTTTAATGGGCACCTAGGGGCTTCACAACTGTAAAGGTCATAATTCTTATTATAATGTTTACTAAACATCATTAAACCAAACATGAGTAATTTTTTAAAATATTAATGTAATATACCAACTATATTTCTTTTAACTTAATGAACCTCCCTTTCTCCTCAACCGCTTTGGTCTAAGTTTAGTTCCAAGTGTACATCAATCCAAACAGTAGTCACCAATAACCTGATTCAGTATGAAACTGAAAAGTCTTCAGATTTGTGGTAGTAACGATTGGGACAAAATTAACAACCTCCTTTTTGTAGTCAAGATCCTGTGTATAATTTCAATTACACACACGCATGTGTGTGGACACTAAGGAACTAGAGATGAACGTTTTTTTTTAAAGATTTTATTTATTTGTCAGAGAGAGAGTATGAGCATGGGGAGCGGCAGGCAGAGGGAGAAGCAGGCTCCCCTGAGCAGGTTGCCCGACACGGGATGCCCGACACGGGATCGATCCCAGGACACTGGGTTCATAACCTGAGTGGAAGGCAGATGCTTAACCAACTGAGCCATCCAGGCATCCCTAGAGATGAACTTTTTTAGGAACTGTCAGCAACCATGTTTTGTTGGAATGTACTTCTTATGAATTATAACATATATAGTACAGAGAGATACAATTCCTTTAAAATTAACAAACTAACCCTACTATTCACATACACTTACATGGAGAAATTCACTGGTGGGAGAGTTGATCCTGCTTTGTGGAAGTCTTTACTCTGTTCTGGGTACATATATGGATTATCTCCTGGAGTTAACTTTGGTATTCCATTCCTAGGATCAATATCTGTGAAAGATATTTAAAAACAAGATCATAAAAAGGACTGAAAGTAATCCAAAGATAGACTCTATCGATATGCTAATGGAAACTAGATAATTTCATGTTTTATTATGAAGTGCATATTATTATTATGTTTGTGATTGTCTTGCCTTGAGAAGAGGAAAAGTGTGCTTGAAACGCTGTGTTTGGGAGATTTTCCAGAAAGTGTCATGATTACCCCACCCTGGGAAATAAGAATAGCTTAGGTTCAGAGGGGATGTTTTGGTTTAAAGTGAACGGTGAATCAAAGGTATCTGCAAAGGATATGCAAGAAGTCTGCTTAAAATCTGAGCAATGGTGCACTTTGAATCCCTGTGCCCTATAAAGCTTAAGAAACAACCGTAATTGGGTCCTTCTCTCTGACTGGATCTCAGAAGGAAATTAGCGAATGAGGAAGAGCTACAGAAGAGAAAAATTATATTTTCAGGTCAACTTCACTACAACCTATAACCACAGACAACATTTTGTTCTTCCTTCTATGATGACAAATTAGGCCTTTAAGGAACTCCACCAATGGCCTGATCGTAACTAATGTGTTAGAGTCAACCATTAATGAGACATATTTTAATTGTTTTTTTCCTATAATAAAGGTGTTGAATTTCAGTTCATAATGGAAGCTGACTGGCAGGCATGATGCTGCCTCTCCATCTTATCCAAGAAATAACAAGAGAGAAGAGAATGTCACGAAAGAAGAAATGCCCCGTGCCAAGCTTAATAGTATCGAGTGCCACAAGAGATTGAGGAAGAGAAAAAAATGGAAAAAGACCATCGTATTCAGGGTTTAAAGAAGTCATTGCACATCACCTAAGAAGTAATCACACTAAAACGAATCAAGCCTATAGGTCCAACTATCAGTTTACAAGAAATACATAGGACAGAGAAACCTGTTAAATGGTACCAAGGGGTATAATCAGCAAAATCCTGACTGTGGCAAACTCTACAGGATACATGACCTAGTTTCTTTTTTTTTTTTTTTAAGATTTTATTTCATTATTTGAGAGAGAGAGAGAGTGAGTGAGTGAGAGAGCACACACAGGGGGAGCAGCAGAGGGTGAGGGAGAAGCAGGCTCTCCACTGAACCGGGAGCCCAATGTAGGACTCGATCCCAGGACCCTGAGATCATGACCTGAGCTGAAGGCAGATGCCCAACCAACTGAGCCACCCAGGTGCCCATGACCTAAAAAAGAGGGGGAGGACCTATAGTAAAAAGAGACTTGAGGGACGCCTGGGTGGTGCATTTTTCGGTATGTATAAAGACCATAAAGGAAGGAAGGAAGGAAGGAAGGAAGGAAGGAAGGAAGGAAGGAAGGAAGGAAGAAAAGGAAGGAAGGAAAGAACGATGGAAGGGAAATAATAATACACAAAATTCAGGATAAGTTTACCTTGAGTTAGGAGGGAAGTGACAGGTTAGGGTAAGGATTTGAGTTCATCGTGATAACCCCATTTATTGTTGATAAATACTTGCAGCTGACCCAGTGAGACACAGGTCCTAAGGACCATATGAGAAAATTTTCCCTTCGTTCTAAAAGGGAAAGGCAACAAGAGAGAGTCCTCTTTTTCATGTTTTGAAATATAGACGCAATGCTTGGAACTGCAACAGTTCTCTTGTGACCATAAGATGACAAGTGTGAAGACAATAATCCAACACAGTCTAAGAATAGCAGCACAGAAAGACAAAATGAGCCTATCTCTTTGATGACATCACTGGGCAACCAGTCCATATAGGCCACCTAGATTTCAAAGCTTCTCGTTAAATTTATAATAAATATTTTATCTTAAAAAAAAAGCATATAATATCTGGGGCACCTGGATGGCTCAGATGGTTAAGCATCTGCCTTCAGCTCAGGTCATGATCTCGGGGTCCTGCATCTCGAGTCCCGCATTGGGCTCCCTGCTCAGCAAGGAGTCTGCTTCTCCCTCTTCCTCTGCCACTCCCCCTGCTTGTGCTCTGTCTCTCTGTCTCTCTCTCAAATGAATAAATAAAATCTTTTTTAAAAAGCATATAATATGTTATGATTTAAGCCTCTGACAGTTTGGTTTTCGTCCTACTAGGGCCAAGAGCATTCCTAAGTACTATACAGCTAAACTTAGCCCCTTCCTGATTTTTCTCAGTTGTTTTATATTTAAATAAATCTTTCTTATTCTACCCATCTCTGTTGGGAGTGAGAAGTCAGGGTGTGCACAACAGGCTCACTTATCAGGGCTTTGGTGGAAGGCTTTGGGTCCTGGGTCACCGACTGCAAACCATACTGGTATCTGACACTCACCTTATCTCTCATACTCTCTGAAGGCTGGCATTTATTTCTGTTGTCTGCTAAAATGTGTCATCTAGTCTGATCCTCAGGAAGCCAGCCCCCACCACAATGCATCAGGCGAAGCATCAATTTATTCTCCTATGATCCCTGCTTGATGGTCCCCAGCACATCATACAGTGGTCTCCCAGCATTTCAGTTGCGAGATCTGGGCAGTTCTCCCGGCTTGCTCTCTGTTTCATTCTTTCTCCGTGTCCCAACCTCCACAGTCTTCATGGAGCACAAAAATGCAGCTATTCCTCCACATCTCCTGGGTGGGTGACACCCTGAGGCTGGCTTTCTGCCCAGATGTTCCCCACAGCTATCACTACCCTGCTGCTCAGTCAGAGCAGATGTCACTTGATTCTGAGGCTCAAAGTCTCGCCCTAGCCAGGCTCTGAGGCTGAAACCCCAGCTAAGGTACATCTGACCACCTGCTAGATTTCGGTGTCAGGAATTGAGCAGAATGTGGGACTCCTCAAGGCTCTCCCACCTCTTCTAGACTACTCTCCCACCTCCTCTAGCACGCCTTCTTGTGTATCCTCTATCCAAACAAAAGCCTTGATCTTCAAAACCAGTTGTCTCTGCTCTGACAAGCAGCCTATTTTGAAATTCAAAATGGGAACTTTCTATTTCTTTCTGTCTGTATTCCTGCAACAGCAATCCATGAAGCAATGGCTGCCTCCCATATAGGTATTTCCAGAGAAGAATGTGCTATAATGGCCCGTTGGTACTCAGCAACCCTAGGATCTTTCCATAAACCTATTATGGGTAGGTTGGGACAGAGAACTCACCATATATATATATACACACACTCATCTCAATTACCTTTAATTAAATAAGCTATGAAATAACAGCATGCACTTCAGGCTGAGGTCTATGGGAATATTTTCCTTTTGAAGAATATAATGTACAACTTAAATACATATGATGGGCAGCATCTAACTGAAACATAAATTATTTTCTGCAGACTTGAATGAAGGTTTCTATTAATAAGTATCTGAGAGAACTTATCTGAGGACTTAAATGTCACATTAGCATTTTATGAAAATTCAGAGAAAAACAAAAATGTGGATCAGCATATGTTGTGAGTTCTTTGCCAGAAAGTGCAGTCTGCCAACCATCCCCTTCACTTTCCCATCTTCCTGGCTGTGCTAGAGTGACATGGTAACCCCAGAGGGCGGATGCCAGCCATGGAATGTTGGGCCTGCAGAACCACAGCTCAGGGAGTATTTTTAGGCATGGCACAGTCAAGGTCCAGGAGAAAAATATTACCGTATTTCTTCCTCCCAAAGCACTTGTCCACCCTTCTCTCTGACAGAGACCTCCTGTTGCCAAGGAAGACCCCATTGAAGAAACACTGCTTTCCAACATGGTAGGTGTGGATATTGCTGCTAAACCTCGGGTAAAATGTCCATTCGGGACGCTGCCCATCTTCTGCAAGACATCAGAAATCCTTCCATCAGCATCGCTTCCAGCCTCACATAATGCAATTAAATCACGGAAAAATCGTCCCAGGCATCCTCTGACTGGCCTGTACTTTATCAACGTGTATAATCCCTTGGTTCTACAACTGGGGCAATGCTAACCTCTGGGGAACTAGGCCTGAAAGGAAAGGAAGTGGGGAGAAAGGTATCTAAGAAGCTTCTTTTTTTTCCCTTTTTATCCTCTCATCCAAAAAATAAAGCCAATTTTACGGTTGGAAGTAATGTATGGAATGGGAAGCTCAGAGACTCTTTTACAAGCACCTACGATCCAACCTTCACTCAGATAAGTGGGTAGGAAAAAGAGAATGCCCATTGGCCAGGGAGGGGCCAGGCCAACAATGGCATCTTAGCCAGATGACCCGCGGTGTTGGCAGCAACAATAGTAGATGCATCGCTAGAATGACACCGGAAAATGTCTCCATGCAACCCTGGGCAAATGACAAAGGCCCCTGCGGGACCTCAGGCAGGTTACTGGATCTGTCCGTGTCTTTGTTTCCTCATTCAGTACTTTTCCTATAAACCGTGATGTTAAACAATGAGAGACCCCCTAACAGCGCTAGTGTTGCGTGAGAAGCCCTTGGGCTCCGGGGTGGCCAAGAAAGCACACAGGCTCTGGAGACAGGCATGTTCGGATTCCAATCCCACCACTGTACTTCCCAGCTGGGTGTTCTCGTATGAGTGACTAAGTCTCTCCGAGCCTCAGTTGCCTTCTGTGTAAAATGGGTAGGTCTATATTAGCCACCTAGATTTATACGTATGACACAGAAAGAGGTCCATGATCTATTTGCCCTGAGTGAAAATAGTTTGTCTCCTATTTTCCACGAGTGCAAATATGGTTGTACATATCCTACAAACCATATATACCTAAGTACATACATACACGCTTCAAAATTCCTCATGGCTACAGGGCATAGTGGGGATACTGCTGGAAAACACTGGGTAAGGAGTTTCTATACTCCAAATATTCCCTTATTATTTTAATACTTTACTATGGTACTTTTATGGTTTTTATATAAAGCCATTTTAGTTTTGGAAAACATATAAAGACAGCTCCTCAGCAGAGTCACTGTGAGAATTAGAGATGAAGCGTGTCCAACACCTGGCACTTCCTGAGTCTCCAATGAACAGTGCCTAACCCTACGGCAGACTTCTGGAAAGCCCTGGGCATGGAGGCACGCAGGGGAGGGGCTTCGACGCACTCACTTGTCTGCAATTTAAGTAGGCTGAACTCCTCAGGATATTTCTGCTTTGGGACGTCAGGCAATGAGGTTTCAGAGGAGTGATCAGAATGTGAGGAGGAGGATTTCAGACCCAAATCTGCAGCCAGGCTGGAAAGGAAGCTGAAGGATTAGATTCTTCCATGTGCTTAAATTGGTAGTTAGAACCTGATTTTACATATTTTACACTAGAATTACCCTCCCTTATGACAACTAGGCCAGCCCCTCCATAAATGTCCACGACATATTATTTATTTGCTCACAATTTGAGGGGACCGACACATAGTCAAAAGATGCATCCTTAAAAACAGTGTGGTAGTTCCTCAAAAAGTTAAATATAGGGGCGCCTGGGTGGCTCAGTTGGTTGGGCGACTGCCTTCGGCTCAGGTCATGATCCTGGAGTCCCTGGATCGAGTCCCGCATCGGGCTCCCTGCGCAGTGGGGAGTCTGCTTCTCCCTCTGACCCTCCCCCTCTCATGTGCTCTCTCTCATTCTCTCTCAAATAAATAAATAAATAAAATCTTTAAAAAAAAAAGTTAAATATAGAATTACCGTATAACGCAGCAATTCCACTCCTAGCCATATACCCCCAAAGAATTGAAAACAGAGACTCAGATACTTGTAAACGATGTTCTTTGCAGCATTACTCACATTAGCCACACAGTGGAAACCACCCAAATGTTCACTGACCGATGAATGGATAAGCAAAAGGTGACATTGACATACAATGGAATATTATTTAGTCATAAAAAGGAATGGAGTTCTGATACATGCTACAACATGAATGAAACTTGAAACATTGTGTTAAGTGAAATAAGCCAAACACAAAAGGACAAATATGTATGACCCCATTTATATGAAATATCTTAATACATAAATTCAGAGAGACAGAAAGTAGATCAGGTTAGTAGATTAGGGCAGATGAGAGTACCAGGGTCTGGGGAGGGGGGAGAATGGGGAATCACTGCTTAATGGGTACAGCACTTCTGTTTGGACTGATGAAAATGTTTTAAAAGTAGCAATGATGGGGGCGTCTGGGTGGCTCAGTTGTTAAGCGTCTGCCTTTGGCTCAGGTCATGATATTGGGGTCCTGGGACTGAGCCCCGCATCAGGCTCCCTGCTCAGCGGGGAGCTTTCTTCTCCCTCTCCCTCTGCCGCTACCCCTGCTTGTGCTTGCTCTCTCCCTCTCTCTCTGTGTCAAATAAATAAATAAAATCCTTAAAAAAATAGCAGTGATGTTGAAAGGTAATTAATGCCAATGGGTAAAAACGGATAAAATGGCAAATGTTATGTTATGTATAATTCACCCCAAGTTTTAAAAAAAAAGGAATGATGTACTGATACAATGTTGCAACATAGATGAAACCTGAAAACGTTAACACTGAATGAAAAAAGCCAGACACCAAAGACTACATATTCCATTTATATGAAATGTCCAGAATAGGCAAGTCTATAGAGGTAAGAAGTACATCAGTGGTTGTCTAGGGCTGGGGGCGGGAATAGGGGACATGGTGGGAGTGACTGCTCAAAAGGATGGGCTTCTCTTTGGGGGTGATGAAAATGTTCTAAAATTGATTGTGGTGATGGTTTAGTAAATATACTAAAAATCATTGAATTGCACACTTTATAAGGGTGAAGATTTTTTTTCTTATGCACATAAAAAAATAACATCAAAATGTTAACATTAAGGTGTGCCTGGCTGGCTCAATCTGTAGAATGTGTGACTCTTGATCTCGGGGTTGTAAATTTGAGCCCCACATTGAGTGTAGAGATTACTTAAAAATAAATCTTTAAAAAATACGTTAATATTGATTCTCTAAGATGTGGAATTACCATGATTTTTATTTTTAATATTGTTTTTATACTTTCAAAATTTCTACAGTGTACTTACTTTCCTTTTTTTTTTTTAAAGATTTTATTTATTTTTATTTGAGAGAGAGAGAATGAGAGAGAGGGAGTACATGAGAGGGGGGAGGGTCAGAGGGAGAAGCAGACTCCCTGCCGAGCAGGGAGCCCGATGCGGGACTCGATCCAGGGACTCCAGGATCATGACCTGAGCTGAAGGCAGTTGCTTAACCAACTGAGCCACCCAGCGCCCTGTACTTACTTTCCTTATAATAAAAGCCATTAGAGAAAAAAAGGCTTCCAAAACTTTTTACTGTAAAGAAATCTAAACAGAGAAAAGCACTCACAACAAATACAGTTTTACAAATAATTATAAAGCCAGCCCTCCCCTCCCACTCTTCCCCCAACCCACTGCCCTCCAGAAACCATTCGTATATCTCCATCCACTAGAATTAACCACTATCCTGACTCTAACTCTTACGGTAATCATGGCTTTGCTTTTCTTCAAGATTTACCATTTAAGTATGTATTCCAAAAAATATAGCTTAGTTTCACTTGCTTTTGAACTTCATAATAACAGGCATGCCTACAACACATATTGTGTGTCATGGAGTCTTCCAATCACTTTCCATGTATTAACTCATTTAAACCTCAAAACAATTCTATGAAGTATTATCTCCATTTTACAGATGAGAAAACTGAGGCCCAGGAAGGTAAAGTAATTTTCCCAAGTTCACAGAGATGAACTTGGCAGAGCTGGGGTTTGAACCTAGACAGCCTGGCTCCAGAATCCATGCTCTTGCCAAACATGTCATGCTACCTCTCAGAATGTTGGCTTCCTGGTCAGAATTTACCCCAATAGTTATGGTCTTTATTGCACCCTTACTTATTCTAGGTGAACAGACACTTTGCAGAGGCCTGGAGGCTCACTCACACTAAGACATGTTTCAACAGAAGATGAGGGGCCGATCTTTCTGCCAGAGGATGTCGTGTTAGCAAAGCATCCCTTAGATTCCAGAAAATCACTGTGTCTAGTACCCGTAACACATCACCATTGGATTTCATTAATGAAATGAAATACCTACCCCTCCGTCTTGTTCCCTAGATTATATAAATTACTTTTTTAAAACTAACATGTATTGAGCATGTACTGTGTATTGGGGATTATGTTAACATTTTACATGCATTATCCCACTTAATTCCCATAACACCCACAGACATAAGTATTGCTTATCCTTCCGTTTTACTGATGAGGGAACTAAGGCACAGATGGTTAAGCAACTTGCCTGAGATCACACAGAAAATAAACACCTGGGTCCAGATTTGATAGCAACTCTTGTGACACTAAAGTCAAAAATCCTAACCATATGCTGGACTACTTGACCCTCCAGAGTTCACCTACTTGGAATTAAGTGGAAGAGATAACATCTGAATCAAGCTATATATCTGTACATTGTATTGAGCACCTCAAGACAATCTTCCAAAGGATTTATTCATGGAAAGACGATGAATAATCCAAAGACCTGCCATCAGAAACTTCCATGGGTTCCCCTCCCACTGGAGCATTGTCATTAATTTATATACACGTCTTCCCCACCAGATTTGTTATTATTTCTTATTCATCTTCGCAGCACCCAGAAAAGTGCCTGACACGAAGTAGATGCTCAACAAATATTTGAGCAAATAAGTGAAAAAGAATGATAACTCCCCAAACTCCCCTAAGGGAGTCCTGAAAGCAGGGGCTCTCAGATACAGAATCATAACCATTATCTTCACTCTGCTAAAGAATTACTGATTCATGTTCTTTCATCATTCTACAGAGCTGTGTGCCTGCCCAGTCACTAAAAAAAAAAAAAAAAAAAAAAAAAGTCAGAGGAATGGATATTGCTTTCTTTATGCATAACTTTATAGCGCATGGAAGCTCAATAGACACAATGTAACCTCTAGTTACAAGAAAATTACAAAAAATAGGAGTCAGACTTCTGTGACTGGAGTTCAATTCCCTCCCCTCCCAGGATCCCCATTCTTGGGTTTTTCAGGGTATGGCATAAGGACTGTCTGCATCAGAATTACCTAAGAACCCTGTTAAAAATACAGATTCTTGGGCGCCTGGGTGGCTCAGTTGGTTAAGCGACTGCCTTCGGCTCAGGTCATGATCCTGGAGTCCCGGGATCGAGTCCCGCATCGGGCTCCCTGCTCAGCGGGGAGTCTGCTTCTCCCTCATCCTCCCCCATCTCATGCTCTCTCTCTCTGTCTCATTCTCTCTCTCAAATAAATAAATAAAATCTTAAAAAAAAAAATACAGATTCTTAAATCCCATCACAGACACTGAATTAGAATCTCTCTAAGTGAGGCCTGGGAACCTGCAATTTGAACTCCATCCCCTGCAGCAACTAGGCTCACATTCTGCAGCTCCACCACTGCATTCTATAGCATCCCACTTCCTGATGCCGAACTGCCCAGAGTTTCTCGAGTTTGCTCAATCACGAGGATCACCTTAGGGCACTTGGTTCAACACTCAGGATCCCAGGGCTCTGACCCAGACCTGCAGGGGAAGACCTGGGTGTCAGTATGGTTAAGAAGCACCGCAGGTGATTCTCAGAGCCGGCCAAGCATGGGAAGATCTGTTCTGGAATATGCCACGGCACCTAAAGCCGCCCCAGGTAAAGGAAGGGTCAACTGGTTGCTTGAGGTGTGAGTAGCTAGCTGGGTGGAGTGGAGCACAGAGGAGGAGCTGAGAAAGACATGGAGCTACGAAGAAGAGAGTACAGGTTCCCGATAGCCAAAGGAGTAACCGCCCACCTACAAGCCATAAAAGTCGTGTCAACAAATGTAACATAGACCACACTCTCTGACCACAATACAATACAATTAGAAATCAATAATAAAAAGACAGCCAAAAACATCCGTAAGCTTGGAAACTCAAACCACACTTCTAAATAAAAAGAGGACATCGCATTGGAAATCATGAGGTGCTTAATGGCCAATGACTTAAGTACTATAAATCAAAACTTGTGGTTATCCAAAGTAAAGCAGTAAGTAGAAATTAGAGCCTGAAATGCATTTACCGTATATCCTGTATTTCACCGAATATGAGGCACCAGCAATTGTAATAACATTTGTATTTTACATGGGGCGCCTGGGTGGCTCAGTTGGTTAAGCGACTGCCTTCGGCTCAGGTCATGATCCTGGAGTCCCGGGATCGAGTCCCGCATCGGGCTTCCTGCTCAGCGGGGAGTCTGCTTCTCCCTCTGACCCTCCTCCCT